AAGTTTTCGGGTTAGCGAATCTGGACTCTGACAGCTGTCTTAAAAGCGTTTCTGCGACCGAAGTAATACTGGGCGTTCGAGCCAACCGAAGACGACTCGACGAGGGAGTGTGAGGATTCTCAATGGTACTCCCTTGGTATTCTCCATTGATCCTTTTCGATTCCTATTAATAGCTCTCTTTCACTGTGCTGTCAAGATCACCACAGACTCGGCCGACCAAAAAACAATTGAGAAAGGTTCAAAGAAGGTAATGGCACTCAGATCAATATGATGGCCATATACAGATATGCCCCTGTTGTCTAATGGTTATGACGTCAGACTTCTAAAATTTAAGATTATCTGGAGGCTGCGGGTTCGAATCCCGCCAGGGGTTTTTTATATATATATATATTGTTCATGTGTTGTGAATGAAGTTTATCCTGCTGACACTTGTCTATCTTTGTATTTTCACTAGCAGTGACTCATGCTACCAATGAATGGCTTCAAATAGAGGGACTGATTTCAGTAAGGACCAACTTCCTTACTTGTGCTAAGGGCCTCACTGTGCTTGACCCTTTGCTCTGTTTGCTTGTGTGTGGCAGGTTAAGTTGCAGGCAAGATGTCAGAGAACCCTTTATGGTACAACAGTACTGTACTATTACAACCAAGTGTTCAGGTCACAGGTCACAATGGTGTCTCGGCTAAATTTTTGATGTGCTCAACATTCACAATAAATCAAAACAAAAATCTTTGGTTCCAGAATTTTGAAATTTTTTGAACACTTGGTCGTAATAGTACAGTATTTCAATATCATTTCTACCCTCTGACCTTCCAATCCTTGTCCAAGCATCTCATCCCAGATTCATCTTGGATCCCTTTCCAATAACCTGTTCATGCTCAGCAGATAGATCTTCCTGCGTACAGCTCCAGAAGTCACACATTGTTGTTCCATGTTTGCTGCAGTATACTTGAGATTGGGCTTGTGATCTGCCATCCAAATCTGTGGTATGGCCAGGCAAGGATGATGTTTTTGTAAAGCATGAACTGTGGCAGCAAACATCAAAGGTTGACAGCCTCACTCTTGGATGTGCTGTAGAGGAGCGGGAACCCAAGAGTCCTACATTGGAAGTCATAAATGCAAAGGAGAGAGACTTTGTCAGGGGAACCCCCGCTTCGGACCGATTAGCCTGGGACCTGGCATATGATCGCGCTCGCATGACCTGTCAGCTGTCACGCGCAGCGGCCTGGGTTGCCGTGCCAAGCGCTTCTCTGTGATGGCAGGTGGTGCCATTGTTCCTATTGTCTCCGTTTTCTATTGTTCTGTCATGGCCATTGTACTTATTGTTCCTATTGTTCTTGTTTGTTGCTGTGTGGTCTATTGTTCCTGTATCATATGAATAGTGGTGCCTGGCAAGGAGAATCCCCAACACGGTTTCTCTTTGGATTCTCCCTTGCCAGGTATGCCGGTCTTGTACCTAGCTACCACTATTATTCACTTTGGATTCTCCCTTGCCAGGACTCTGACGTCGAGCCTCGAGGTTGCCCTTACAGACTTGGAGACCCTTGTAAGTGATACAAAGACAACTTGTCAGGGCAACCTCGAGACCCAATTTCAGAGTTCTGGCAAGGGAGAATCCATGTAAGGGCAACCTTAAGGCCCGATCTCAGAGTTCTGACAAGGGAGAGTCCAAAGGGTCAGATAAAGGGATCAACTAATACAGGAGACTGGCAAACCTGACAAGGGAGAGTCCAAAGAGAAACCAAGTTGGGGACTCTCTGTTGATAAAAAGATCATCTTATCATCTGCCAGATGGATGTCGTGATACACATCTTATGACTCCATCACGTGTCATCTAGAGTCATGCCAACTCATATCAAATAGACACAAATAACTCCCTGTATTGTATATAAGGAGGGCTCTATGTGACAATCAACAAGAAATAATGTCGAAAAGAGAAGTGAATTCAAAGACTGGAGAATACAACCAAGTAGCTACAGTATTTATACCCAAATCCAGTCTGAGTCATATCTACAACTAATGAGTCATAAGGCTATGTACCGCATGGAGCACTGGTCATGGGTTGTAGTAGAACCTTCCAGAGCATATGTCGCGCAGCCTCGAATCGATAAAGATAATCCCTGGAACCCCTAGCCCGGACCGTCTGATGCTGTGATCTGTGATAAGATAATCTGTGCCGAGATAAGATAAGATGGTCGATGATAAGATGAAAAAGGGCTGAATTATGACACAGACTGGATTTGGGTATAAACTTTTTCCAATGCTGCTTTTGCTTTGTCTTGTATTTCTTTGATTCTTTTCACAAACTCCTCTGCCGACTCGTTTCTCGATTCCATCCACTGCTCCACTCCCTTCCATGGGTGATATCCGTGATTCGCGTAGAACGGTGATATTTTGGTAGACGTGTTCATTTTATCGTTATATGCAAACTCCGCCATTCCCAGCCACTCCGACCAGTCCATCTGATGGTAATTGACATAGATGCGGAGGTAATGTTCGATCTCCTGATTCATGCGTTCTGTCTGCCCATCCGTGATTGGGTGATACGCGGTCCCCAGATTCATTTCTATGCCCAACATCCAATTTGTCTCCTTTATGAAGCCTTTGATGTATCGTGAGTCCCTGTTGGTGATGATCTTGCGAGGGATCCCGTGATAGCAGAAGACTCGGTCCCTGGTTAATCGTGCGACTCCTTCACTGCTGATGTCAGTACTAATTGGTTCGACATGGATCATTTTGGTGAAGGTGTCACACCACACATGAATTGTGTCATACTCGTTACTGACCGGCAAGGGTCTGATTTGATCCATGGAGATGATTTCCCACGGCGCATTTGGAACTGCATGCGGGTGTAGAGTCCCCGTCCTCGCTCTCCTGGTCTTGGTCCGTTGGCACGCCTTGCACATCTGGATGTATTTCCAAATTTGGTTTCCCATCCTTGGCCACCAGTAGTTCCTTTCCACCATTTCCTGCATTTGGTTGGTCCCGGCGTGTCCAACCAAAGGCGTGTTGTGGTGTAGCCCAATGATCCTGTCCCGCAGTTCCTTGTCCCTTGGTACGTAGAGCTTCCCATGGTACGTGATGAGCCCATCTTCCTTTTTCCACCCAATGAGTGACTTCTCCAAGGCCGCTTTGACGCTTCCATCAATCGATCGAGTAGCCTTGATCTCATCGATTAGCTGCTGATCTTGCCCCTCGAATGTGACTTCTTGTGATCGGAAGAATTCGGGCTTCAGTAGCGTGACGTCCTTGTTGTCGTTCTTGCCCTGATCGTGATGTGCTCGTCGAGACAGGAGGTCCGCCTTGCGGTTGAGTGCGCCGGGTCAGTGTCGTAAGGTGAAATCAAACTCTGTCAACTCCGTGATCCATTGTGCTTGCCGTCGATTGAGTTTCTGCGGCTTCCGGAAGTACTCAAGATTCTGATGATCAGTGAAGATCTCGAACGTTTCCGTGGCTCCCAGCAGTAACCGCCTCCATTCATCCAATGATAGCATGATTGCGAGCATTTCCTTGTCGTAGATCTCGTAATTTTGCTCGGTTGCGGTCAATGCATGTGAAATAAACGTGATTGGGCGCCAAATGCCATCTTGGTTTTGGCTCAAAACAGATCCTGTTGCCCCTTCCAAAGCATCGGCTTCCAGACAATATTGGCCAGTGTCATTTGGCAGTGTTAGGACCACATCCTCCGCGATTCTCTTCTTCAATCCATCAAATGCTGCATGCTCATCCGTACCCCATGACCATCCTGCCTTCCCTGTCAGTCGTGTCAATGGCTTGGCAACCTCCGCATATCCCTGGACAAAGCACCGATAGAAGTTGGTGAACCCTAGGAACGCTTGGACTTGTTTGGCGCTCTTTGGTTCTGGCCATTCCATCACGCCCTTGATCTTGACTGGGTCCATCCGCATTGAATTGTGTCCAATAATTACCCCCAGATATTCGATTTCTGTGCGTTCGAACTTGCACTTTTTGGGTTTCAGGTACAGCTTGTGTTTTTGGAGTAATTCAAGCACTCGTTTTGTGATCCGCCGATGTTTATCCAAGTTCTCTGTGAAGATCAATATATCATCAAGATAAACTACCACGTGACCCTTGTTGATCAGCTCTCGGAGTATGTTGTTCATCATGTTTTGAAAGGTTGCCAGGAAATTTGTGAGACCAAAGAACATGACCAAGGGCTCGTACAGTCCGCGGTTTGTGTGGAACGCAGCCTTCCACTCGTTGCCCTCTTTGATTTGTACGTTGTTGTATCCCCACCGGATGTCAAGCTTTGTGAAGAACTTGGTGCTGCATAGATTGTGGACCAGTTTGGAGATCAGCGGCAGCGGGTATCAATTTTGGATTGTCATTTCATTCAGCTTCCGATAATCTTGTACAAGGTGTAGCGAGCCATCCTTCTTCTTGACAAAGAAGAATGCTGATGCCATGGGTGATTTTGATGGCCTGATCCATCCGCTGGCTAGGTTCTCTTGTAAGAACTCTTCGAGTTTGACCTGTTTGTTTTGTGATAACGGGTACACCTTGCAGTCCACTGCTTTGGAACCAGGTTTGAGCTTGATTGCATGATCCCATGCCCATTGGTCTGGTAGCGAGTCAAACGATTCCTTGGCAAATACTTTGACAAATTCCTGGTATTGATCCGGAATCTTTCCCTCGGTCATTCTCTCCTTCTCCTTTTCTGCTTCTTCTGCAAATTTCTGTGCCGGCGTTTCCTTCAGCCATAGATCCACTTCCTTCCCAAAGTCGACCAACAGGATCGATTCCCCCTCTTCCAGATCTGGCATGTCCGTGTCCAAGTCGATTGCATCCATGTCAATTATTGCTTGGTTCTCCTTGTGACCCCTCATGTGACACTGCTCTGGGCATCGGCTGAATCTCATTGTCTGCTCCTGCCAATCCACCTCGGGGTTGTGTTCCATCAGCCAGTCAAGACCATTGAGGATCCGGGCCTTCTCTAAGCACGTCAGAAGGAACGTGCATGTCTCCACATGAGGACCGATTCTCATCCTTAGGTTCACGTAATGCGTGATCCGGCCACTGATGTTCTTGGTGTTGTCGGCGTTACGAGCCACGATGGGTTGTGGAAGCTCTTGGATATCCAGCTTCTCTGCCCGCGCGTAGTCGGTATCGATACAGCAGGTACTGCAGCCACTGTCGAGTAGCGCCTTGACACCGCGCGTCTTTCCTGAGTCCAGGCCCGTGATCTGGACATATACGTCCATTGAATGCCTCTTCCTTTCAGCCTGGTAGTTGTGCTGCTTCCAGTTCATCGCCCATCTCGAGGCGGCGCAGCTTGTGCCAGCCTCGTTGCAGAGGTAGGAGAGGATGAAGAGGATTTTGGTTTCATCTGTTGAGAATTCCGACCGGTATACACCGATGTAGGCGGTGCACAAGTCCACAAAGCCCATGTACTTGGTCTTGTCCCCATCAAAATAGGGGGGGTCGGCAGCAAGGGTGATGTGGTGGTGTCCTGACATGGTAGGAGCAGGTGTGGTAGGTGGGGGTGAGGGTGGTTGTTCGGAGGGCAACTCGTCAAGGTCCGGGATCTCGTCTTCAGGCGGTGGGAGGGCAAGGTAGGGGTTGGAGGGCCCAGATTGGTCCTGATGCGCCAGATCAGGCAACGATGGTATGAGGGGGGGAGGAGACGGACTCCCAGACAACAATGGGAATCGGTACAAAATGGTGGATTCGTGTGCTGTACAAGCACTCGAGGGGAGGTTCTTTTGCTAGCAAAAAGATCCCGGGCCTAGCTCTTCACATGCCCGATGATCCCGAGGTGCGTTTTCCTGAAGGTCTCCACAGCACTCCTTGTAGCTACCGTAAGGGTTGGGCTGGGCTCAACGTTACCTGTAGCCTGGTGCTGTTTGCTCAAGATGAACCCTTCACTGCGATTGCAGAGAACAACTAGATGATTCGGTAGAAGGGTAAGTGAGATGATAAGGGTTAAGAGGATATAGCGGGCGTAGCGGTGAGGGATGCAGGGGTAAGAGGTATGAGGTAGGAGGGTATGAGGGGAGTCTTCAAATTATGTGACAATCAACAAGAAATAATATCGAAAAGAGAATTGAATTCAAAGACTGGAGAATACAACCAAGTAGCTACAGTATTTATACCCAAATCCAGTCTGAGTCATATCTACAACTAACGAGTCATAAGGCTATGTACCGCATGGAGCACTGGTCATGGGTTGTAGTAGAACCTTCCAGAGCATATGTCGCGCAGCCTCGAATCGATAAAGATAATCCCTGGAACCCCTAGCCCAGACCGTCTGATGCCGTGATCTGTGATAAGATAATCTGTGCCGAGATAAGATAAGATGGTCGATGATAAGATGAAAAAGGGCTGAATTATGACACTCTATCATCCTGTATTCTAAGTCTCTTGACTACTCCTGCATAGTGCCCACACTAAGCTCTCAACTCACACAGGTGAGCTGCTAGACGCTCTCCCCAGTGCTTAACAGGTTATGGGCCCCAAGAGCTATGTCTGCACCTCAGTGGCTGCAGTATTCATTGTATGCACTGTCACTGGCTGCAACAATGAGCAGCGTCTTTAGCTTATCTGTATTCACTTCAGCTGCTGTATAGCGCTGGTGAAACCATGCCTAATTGCGATAACATTGCTTGATCCAGATGCATCAATCTCTGAAGGAGATTAAGATCTATGAGGATCTAATCATCTTGATCTTTGATTTCATCTATCAGATTAGATTGATGCTGATCACTCACACAGATCAATATGTCATCCAACTCCAACATCTTCAATGCTGTCTCCATCTTCGATGGGAAGCACTGGCTTGTCTGGTCCAGAACTATGGAGTCCTATCTGTAACATCAGGGGATCTCATATGTGCTAACTGAAGCTGTGCCGACCCAAATCAAAGTGGATGGCATTGTTACCAATGCATCAGAGATCAAGCAATGGAAGCATGATGACCTCAGAGCCAAAGGCATGTCATAATTCGACTCTTTTTCATCTTATCATTGGTGATCTTATCTTATCACGGATCACGGCATCAGACGGTCCGGGCTAGGGGTTCCAGGGGTTATCTCTATTGATTCGAGGCTGCGCGACATATGCTCCGGAGGGTTCTACTACAACCCATGACCAGTGCTCCATGCGGTACATAGCCCTATGACTCATTAGTTGTAGATATGACTCAGACTGGATTTGGGTATAAATACTGTAGCTACTTGGTTGTATTCTCCAGTCTTCGAATTTACTTCTCTTTTCGACTTTATTTTTGGGTTGATTGTCACATAATTTGAAGACTCCCCTCATACCCTCCTACCTCATACCTCTTACCCTGCATCCCGCACCGCTACGCCTGCTATATCCTCTTCACCCTTATCACCCCACTTACACTTTTACTGAATCATCTAGTCGTTCTCTGCGATCGCAGCGAAGGGTTCATATCGAGCAAACAGCACCAGGCCACGGGTAACGTTGAGCCCGACCCAAGCCTTACGGTAGCTACAAGGAGTGCTGCGGAGACCTTCGGGAAAACGCACCTTGGGATCATCGGGCACGTGAAGAGCTAGGCCCGGGGTCTTTTTGCTAGCAAAAGAACCCTCCCTCGAGTGCTTGTACAGCACACGAATCCACCATTTCGTACCGATTCCCATCGTCATCTGGGAGTCCATCCCCTCCCCCCATCATACCATCGTCGCCCGATCTGGCGCATCAAAACCAACCCGGGCCCTCCAACCCCTATCTCGCCCTTCCGCCGCCTGAAGACGAGTTCCCCGACCTTGGCGAGTTACCCTCCGAACAACCACCCTCGCCCCCACCTACCGCACCTGCTCCTACCATGTCAGGACATCACCGCATCACCCTCGCCGCCAACCCTCCCTACTTCGATGGCGACAAGTCCAAGTACCTGGGCTTTGTGGATGCGTGTACCACATACATCGGTGCCTATTGGTCAGAGTTCTCGCTGGACAAAACAAAAATCCTCTTCGTCCTGTCCTACCTCCGCAATGAGAGCGGCACAAGCTGCGCCGCCTCAAGATGGGCGATGAACTGGAAGCAGCACAATTTCGAGGGCTTCCAAGGACTGAAGGGGGGAGTCACCGCAACAAGCTTCTTGGAGGAGCTTCAGAGGGCCTTTGGGGATTCTAACGCAGAGCAAGTCGCTGCCGCCCGACTCATGGCCCTTCGCCAGGGCAGACGGTCCTTTGCGGACTACATCTCCGACTTCGAAATGCTGGCTGCAGATGCGGGGTACAACGTGGTCACCACCACCGACAGCAAGGGCGAGTACAAGAAGGGGGAACAGGACAATATCCTCATCGAGTTCCTGGAACGCGGACTCAGCAGCAAAATTGCAAGCCGCCTCTACAACACTGGCGTTCCCCTGCCCAAGGCATATGGTGCCTTCAAGAACTGGTGCGTCAACATTGAGGCAAACGCTCTACGCGATCAGCTGCGCAAAGCATCGCATGCGCAATCCGCACCACGACCGCCTCCCCAATTCCGCCCTCAGGCAGCACCAGCGGCGCCCACGCCTGCCCCGACCCGGCCGGCTGCCAACAAACCAGTCCCAATGGAAATCGATCGGACCCATGCCCGCGGCCGCAACATCATCTGCTACAACTGTCAGCAGCCTGGGCACATCGCGCGGAATTGTCCGGAGCCCAAGAAGAAGCGCACGTTCTTCAATCGGGCCACGATGCTGGAAGAGATCAAGAACGGGGATAAGGACAACGAGTTCCTCAAGGAGATTGCCGAGAAGCTGCGCGAGAAGGGTTTTTGAAGCGCTCCACTCCTCTAGCCAAGGAGGTGGAGCGTCCGGACTATGGACGATTTTCTATACTTGTTTTGATTAAAGACATGAACGATTCTGCACATACATACACAATCTCGGACTCACTACGTACCAATATTCACGATTTTCTCATTGCTGATATGGAAAAAGAACGCCAAAGAAAAATAGCTTTAAATGGAGAGTATCTACAAAGTAAAAAGGATCAGAAAGCTGCAGATAAATTAATTTTGGATTCATACGTATTTATGGCTCGTGGAGAAGGAACCACGTCAACAAAGACCGAAAAGGGGAGCACCACTCCGAAGGCTCAATCCTTGGAAAAGGAGGAAGCGCCTAAGGAATCCGCCGAAATCAAGGTTCCAGAAGCACCCAAACGCACAAGGGTGCCAGATGCCGTTCAAAGGAAATTGGCGGCCGAGAGACAGAAGGGCCCGCAGCCTGGCAGACTGGCGCAGGAATTGCGCGACTACCAGGCCAAAAGGAAGAGACATTCGATGGACGTATATGTCCAGATCACGGGTCTAGACTCAGGGAAAACGCGCGGAGTCAAGGCGCTGCTCGATAGCGGCTGCAGTACCTGTTGCATCAATACCGACTACGCACGGGCGGAGAAGTTGGATATTCAAGAGCTTCCACAACCCATTGTGGCCCGTAACGCTGACAACACCGAGAACATCAGCGGTTGGATCACGCATTACGTTGACCTAAGGATGAGAATCGGCCCTCACGTGGAGACACGCACGTTCCTTCTGACGTGTTTAGGGAAAGCTCGGATCTTCATTGGTCTTGATTGGCTGACGGAACACAACCCCAAGGTGGATTGGCAGGAGCAGACCATGAGATTCAGCCGATGCCCAGAGCGGTGTCACATGAGGGGTCACGAGGAACATCAAGCAATGATTGACATGGATGCAATCGACCTGGACATGGGCACGCCGGATCTGGAAGAGGGAGAATCGATCCTGTTGGTCGATTTTGGGAAGGAAGTGGATCTGCGGCTGAAGGAAACACCGGTGCAGAAATTCGCAGAAGAAGCGGAAAAAGAGAAGGAGAGGATGACCGAGGGGAAGATTCCGGATCAATATCGGGAGTTTGTCAAAGTATTCGCCAAAGAATCGTTTGACTCGCTACCAGACCAACGGGCATGGGATCACGCAATCGAGCTCAAACCTGGTTCCAAGGCAGTGGACTGCAAGGTGTACCTGTTATCACGCAATGAACAAGTTAAACTCGACGAATTCTTACAAGAGAACCTAGCCAGCGGATGGATCAGGCCATCAAAATCACCCATGGCATCAGCATTCTTCTTTGTCAAGAAGAAGGATGGCGCCCTACGCCCCGTCCAAGACTATCGGAAGCTGAATGAGATGACGATTCGGAATCGATACCCGCTGCCGCTGATATCCGAACTAGTCCATAATCTATGTGGCGCCAAGTTCTTCACAAAACTTGACATCCGGTGGGGGTACAACAATGTACGGATCAAAGAGGGCGACGAGTGGAAGGCTGCATTCCGCACGAACCGAGGGCTGTACGAGCCCTTAGTTATGTTCTTCGGTCTCACAAATTCCCCGGCAACATTCCAAAACATGATGAACGACATACTCCGAGAATTGATCAACAAGGGTCACGTGGTAGTCTATCTGGACGATATACTGATCTTCACAGAAAACTTGGACGAACATCGGCGAATCACGAAGCGAGTGCTCGAATTGCTCCAGAAACACAAGCTATACCTGAAGCCTGAAAAGTGCGAGTTCGAACGCACGGAAATCGAATATTTGGGTGTAATTATTGGACACAATTCGATGCGGATGGACCCAGTCAAAATCAAGGGCGTGATGGAATGGCCCGAACCAAAGAGTGTCAAACAGGTCCAAGCTTTCCTCGGATTCACAAACTTCTATCGGCGCTTTGTCCGGGGTTACGCGGAGGTTGCCAAGCCATTGACACGGCTGACAGGGAAGGCAGGATGGTCATGGGGTGCAGATGAGCATGCAGCGTTTGATGGATTGAAGAAGAGAATCGCGGAAGATGCGGTCCTAGCACTGCCAAATGACACTGGCCAATATCGTCTGGAAGCCGATGCTTCGGAAGGAGCAACAGGATCAGTTTTGAGCCAAAACCAAGACGGCATTTGGCGCCCAATCGCATTTATTTCGCACGCACTGACCGAAACTGAGCGAAATTACGAGATCTACGACAAGGAAATGCTTGCAATCATGCTATCATTGGACGAATGGAGACAGCTACTACTGGGAGCCACGGAGACGTTCGAGATCTTCACTGATCATCAGAATCTTGAGTACTTCCGGAAGCCGCAGAAGCTCAATCGACGGCAAGCACGATGGATCACGGAGTTGGCGGAGTTTGATTTCACCTTACGACACCGACCCGGCGCACTCAACCGCAAGGCGGACCTCCTGTCTCGACGAGCACATCACGATCAGGGCAAGAACGACAACAAGGACGTCACGCTACTGAAGCCCGAATTCTTCCGATCACAAGAAGTCACATTCGAGGGACAGGATCAGCAGCTAATCGATGAAATCAAGGCCATTCGATCAATTGATGGAAGCGTCAAGGCGGCCCTAGAAAAGTCACTCGTCGGATGGAAGAAGGAAGAGGGGCTTATCACGTATCATGGGAAGCTCTATGTACCAAGGGACGAGGAGTTGAGGGACAAGATCATCGGACTACACCATGACACCCCTTTGGTCGGACACGCTGGGATCAACCGAACGCAGGAGATGGTGGAAAGGAACTACTGGTGGCCAAGGATGGGAAACCAAATTCGGAAATACATCCAGACGTGCGAGGCGTGCCAGCGGACCAAGACCAGAAGAGCCAGGACAGGGAGTTTGCACCCACATGCAGTTCCAAATGCGCCATGGGAAATCATCTCCATGGATCAGATCGGACCCTTGCCGGTCAGTAACGAGTATGACACAATTCATGTGTGGTGTGACACCTTCACCAAAATGATCCATGTCGAACCAATTAGTACTGACATCAGCAGCGAAGGAGTGGCACGATTAACCAGGGACCGAGTTTTCCGCTACCACGGGATCCCTCGCAAGATCATCACCGACAGGGATTCGGGTTACATCAAGGGCTTCATGAGGGAGACAAATCGGATGTTGGGCGTGGAAATGAACCCGGGGACCGCATATCACCCGATCACGGATGGGCAGACAGAACGCATGAATCAGGAGATCGAGCATTATCTCCGCATCTACGTCAATTACCATCAAACGGACTGGTCGGAGTGGCTGGGAATGGCGGAGTTCGCATACAATGACAAGATGAACACGTCTACCAAAATATCGCCGTTCTATGCGAATCACGGATATCACCCGTGGAAGGGAGTGGAGCAACGGATGGAGTCGAGAAATGAGTCGGCGGAGGAATTTGTGAAAAGAATCAAAGAAATACAAGACAAAGCAAAAGCAGCACTAGAAAAAGCAAAAGAAAAAATGAAAAAATACTACGATAAACAAAGAAAAGAGGTTCCGGAGTTGAAGGTTGGGATGAAGGTATACATAGAAGGGGAAAATATCGAGACAGATCGACCATCAAAGAAGATGAGCGACAAGAGATTAGGACCATACGAGATATTGGAGAAGGTTGGAGCGGCTGCATGGAAGCTGGACTTACCGGACACGGACCAAAGACATCCGGTGTTCAACGAGTCACTGTTGACACCCTATCACGAACCACCCCCCCATCGCCGAGAGAAGAGGCCTTTAGCCAAGATGATCGGAGGAGCAGAAGAGTGGGAAGTCGAAGAAATTGTGAAAGAGCGAAACGTCGGCCAAGGAAAACAGTACTTGGTCAAATGGAAGGGATGGCCACACAGCGAGAACACCTGGGAACCATCACGTCACCTTACCCACGCGAAGAAAGTCCTGAGAGATTGGCAGAGGAAACAATCCAACCCAGACACACGCATTCGCCTCCTGCCAACTCTCGAAGCCGGACATTGGGATTATCTCATCCATCGCTACAAACCCAAAGACGAGCGCCTTCCATATCCCCAGCGACAACTCTTCGACCCCTACGAAAACGTCTTCACGCCTATCGGCCTAGTCGATGAGGACATCGACCCTAGAGAGGGGGTAATGTCATAATTCGACTCTTTTTCATCTTATCATCGGTGATCTTATCTTATCACGGATCACGGCATCAGACGGTCCGGGCTAGGGGTTCCAGGGGTTATCTCTATTGATTCGAGGCTGCGCGACATATGCTCCGGAGGGTTCTACTACAACCCATGACCAGTGCTCCATGCGGTACATAGCCCTATGACTCATTAGTTGTAGATATGACTCAGACTGGATTTGGGTATAAATACTGTAGCTACTTGGTTGTATTCTCCAGTCTTCGAATTTACTTCTCTTTTCGACTTTATTTTTGGGTTGATTGTCACAAGGCAGCATTAAGTTGCACCTGACCGAAGGTGTCATTGCTAACATTCCCACCACTGATATAGTGTCAGCTGCCAAGATCTGAGAGCATCTGAAGAAGCAATATAGTGGTGCTCAGTGCACCAACCTGTATGCATACTTTCAAGCTGCGTTGAACACCAAGTACAATGTAGGGTTGCACCCTGATCCACAGCTGCTGGTGATCACTACGGTGTTCACTCGCCTGGAGAACAAGTCTTTAAGCATCCCTGAGTTCCTCAGGGTGATGATCATTCTCAATATAGCCTGTCTGTCACAGAGACTGTTCTGCAGACTTATGACAAGGACGAGATCAAAGTCTTGGTGGTTCACAACGTTCTCTTGACGCATTTCGCTCAGAAGCAGTCTCAAAGCCAGAATCATGTGGCCAAGTTCAATACCAAGCGCAAGCACAATAACCCTTTGTTTACCAATCAGCAACAGGGCTCTGGCTCTGCACCCGATCAGGGTGATAAGGCTGATGGGAAGAAGAAGAACTGTCGAGGCAAGCACAGTGGGAAGAACAAGGACAACAAGGGCAAGGGCAAGGCTAATCATGGTCATGTCCATGGTGTCTCCAAGATCACTGGCTCTCTCACTATTGGTTCAATCACCTCGCTCACTCCATCTATCCCTGCACCAACAATCTCGCATGTCACGCACATCTCTCACGATGGACCTAAAATCTGCGTGGTTCAAGAGGAGTCTCCCATTAACAACAATGGAATTATTGACACCAAGTTCCAGAAGCCTACTTGCAAGGTCTTCGAGCTTGCCAAGAAGATGGATGTGATGGTGACCGCAGAACACTTCCGGACTCTTGACAAGATTGTCAATGAGAAAAGAATGCTCCAAGAGGATGCAATCATGCGTTCTCCATCTCCAGTTGCTTCTGGCTTGAATCACACTCTGGATGGTGGTCCTCCTGCCAAACGTAGTTGTATCAAGGAGATCCCCGACATCGAGATGGCCACCAGCCAACAGAACAATCTTGATCTCCTGTTTGGAGATAGCGAGTTCACTCAGGCTGAACCAGTCAATTGGGATGAGGTCGTCAACTTCAACACCCTTGTGGAGGAGATGGATGCTCCTTCCACCAAAAGGCAAGTACCCTGCCTTCTTGGGCATATGCACAATTCTGATTGTTGCTCACAGCCAGAGCGCATAATCACCGCCGCCCCGGGTTCTGTACTTAATTTGTTGATGATTTGTTTGCATAATTTTTGTACCTATCTATTCTGTGTGCACTCTGACTTTGCTACCTGCTCTAAGTGTAAGGGGAAACATCATCATCATGAATTAGGGCCTCTATGGCTTCTTGATTCTGGTGCATCTCTCCATGTGACATCGGAGATTAGTGATCTGGTTGGATATAAGAAGCTCTCAGATCCTATTGTTGCTCAGACCGCTGATAAGAACACATGTGTTGCCCTTATTGGTCGAGGAACAGCCTTCATTGATCATTACGTCACAAGGCATGGAGAAAAGACTATGGTGACTTCTCAGATATATCCAGTATACCTAGTGCTAGGATTACATGGTTGTCTCATATCTTTGGGCTTCTTACTCAAAGGAGGATCTTGTGTTTTCAACAATTAGCATCATCAAAAATTGATGTGCAATCAAAAGCTGTGCTATTCCACTTGGCAGTGAAGTATGTGACTGATGCTGGTATAGAACATGATGGGAAATCAACATTTCTTTATTAGACAATACCCCATGTTGATTTCCAATCCTGGCCAAGTTTCCCAGAATGTGCCAAAAATGAGCAATTCTGAGTGTCAAGGTCAAACACGCATACAAGCAGCCAATGAGAGTAATTGGAGCATTCACAAAGTGTTGATCAAATGATGATCTTATCATCTGCCAGATGGATGTCGTGATACACATCTTATGACTCCATCACATGTCATCTAGAGTCATGTCGACTCGTCCTAAATAGACACAAATAGCCCCCTGTATTGTATATAAGGAGGGCTCTATTACCCTATAATCCAAGTCTCTTGACTACTCCCGCATAGTGCCCACACTAAGCTCTCAACTCACACAGGTGGGTTGCTAGACGCTCTCCCCAGTGCTCAACAGGTTATGGGCCCCGAGAGCTATGTCTGCGCCTCAGTGGCCGCGACATTCATTGTATGCGCCGTCACTGGCTGCAACGATGAGCAGCGTCTTTAGCCTATCTGCATTCACTTCAGCTGCTGCATAGCGCTGGTGAAACCATGCCGGATCGCGATTACATCGCTTGATCCAGATGCATCGATCTCTGAAGGAGATTATGATCTATGAGGATCTGATCATCTTTATCTTTGATTTTATCTATCAGATTAGATTGATGCTGATCACTCACACAGATCTAACATGTCGTCCAACTCCAACAACATCTTCAATGCTGTCTCCATCTTTGATGGAAAGCACTGGCTTGTCTGGTCCGGAACTATGGAGTCCTATCTGGAGCATCAGGGGATCTCATACGTGCTGACCGAGACCGCGCCAACCGAAGTCAAGGCTACGGATGGCTCTGTGACCAACGCATCGGAGATCAAGCAATGGAAGCATGATGATCTCAGGGCTAAGGGCAGCATTAAGTTGCGCCTGACTGAGGGAGTCATTGCTAACATTCCAACCGCCAACATAGTATCAGCTGCCAAGATCTGGGAGCATCTGAAGACCCAATACGGTGGTGCTCAGTGCGCCGACCTATATGCGTACTTCCAAACCGCGTTGAACGCCAAGTACAACGTGGGGTTGCACCCGGATCCACAGCTGCTGGTGATCACTACGGCGTTCGCTCGCCTGGAGAATGAGTCTTTGAGCATCCCTGAGTTCCTCAGAGCGATGATCATTCTCAACATAGCCCGGATTCCCTCCGTCACAGAGACTGTTCTCCAGACCTATGAAAAGGACGAGATCAAAGTCTCAGCGGTACGTGACGCTCTCTTGACGCATTTCGCTCAGAAGCAGTCTCAAAGCCAGAATCATGTGGCCAAGTTCAATACCAAGCGCAAGCGTGATGACCCTTCGTTCACCAATCAGCAACAGGGCTCTGGCTCTGCACCCGATAAGGGTGATAAGGCTGATGGAAAGAAGAAGAACCGTCGAGGCAAGCGCAGTGGGAAGAACAAGGACAACAAGGGCAAGGGCAAGGCTGATCACAGTCATGTCCATGGGGTCTCCGAGATCACTGGCTCCCTCACTATCGGTTCGATTGCCTCGCTCACTCCGTCTATCCCTGCGCCGACGATCTCGCATGTCACGCACATCTCTCGCGATGGACCCAAAATCCGCGCGGTTCAAGAGAAGTCTCCCGTTAACAACAATGGGATTATTGACACCGAGTTCCAGAAGCCTACTCGTAAGGTCTTCGAGCTGGCCAAGAAGATGGATGTGACGGTGACCGCAGAACGCTTCCGGACTCTCGACAAGATCGTCAATGAGAAAGGAATGCTCCGCGAGGACGCAATTATGCGTTCTCCATCTCCGGTTGCTTCTGGCTCGAATCACACGCTGGATGATGGTCCTCCTGCCAAACGCAGTCGTATCGAGGAGATCCCCGACGTCGAGATGGCCACCAGCCAACAGAACGATCTTGATCTTCTGTTTGGAGATAGCGAGTTCGCCCAGGCTGAACCGGTCAATTGGGATGAAGTCGTCGACTTCAACACCCTTCTGGAGGAGATGGACGCTCCTTCCGCCGAAAGGCAAGTACCCTGCCTTCTTGGGCATATGCACAATTCTGATTGTTGCTCACAGCCAGAGCGTGTAATCACCGCCGCCCCGGGTTCTGTACTTAATTCGTTGATGATTCGTTCGCATGATTTTTGTACCAATCTATTCTGTGTGCACTCCGATTTTGCTGCCTGCTCTAAGTGTAAGGGGAAACATCATCATCATGAATTAGGGCCTCTATGGCTTCTTGATTCAGGTGCATCTCTCCATGTGACATCGGAGATTAGTGATCTGGTCGGATATGAGAAGCTCTCAGATCCTATTGTTGCTCAGACCGCTGATAAGAACACACGTGTTGCCCTTATTGGTCGAGGAACAGCCTTCATCGATCATTATGTCACAAGGCATGGAGAAAAGACAATGGTGACTTCTCAGATATATCCAGTGTACCTAGTGCCAGGATTACATGGTCGTCTCATGTCTTTGAGCTCCTTACTCAAAGGAGGATCTCGCGTTCGTGGAGACGAATCACGGATCAGCTTACATCGAGGGAAGTCCCCACTCTCGATCATGGAGTTTAGAACTCTAGGGAAGGACATTGCATTGTACTTCCTGATGTCAAAGCCTAGTACGGCTGAGACAGTGCGATCCATGTCCACTGTTTACAAGGTGGATTATGAGATCATGCACCGGCGATTTGCACATCCGTCAAAAGACGTTTTACGTCAGGCAAAAAAGAATACCAAGGGCTTTCCAGAAGACCTAGTATTTCCCGAGGAAACCCGACCGTGTAAAGGATGCGCGCAAGGGAAAATGCACCAACGTGCCTTCCCGCCTTCCGAAAAACGAGCGGAGAATCCGTTTGATTTGATCCACTCGGATCTCAAACAATTTCCCACGGTGTCTTATCACAAGTACCGCTACTTCATGAGCTTCTTCGACGAAGCACTCTCCTATGGCTGGACAGTATGCCTTGCGCAGAAATCCGATGCCAAGCAGGCTATGCGCAATTTCATTGCGATGGTCAAGAACCAGTTCAATGTCACCATCAAAAGGTGGCATATTGACAATGGGGGAGAATTCATGGGGATGGGAATGGAAGAATTTCTCGCGGAACAAGGAATTCTAGTGGAGAAGGGTGCTCCATATGCTCACCAGCAGAATGGGCATGCCGAGCGCTTCAATCGTACGATCATGGATAAGGCAGAAGCCATGCGCTTCACTGCCTGTCTTCCTAATTCTTATTGGGAATTCGCTATTAAACATGCGACACGGATCTACAATATGACACCTATCAGGCGTCTAAAATGGAAAACTCCATTTGAAGCTCTTCACAAGGAAAAACCGGATGTTTCCGAACTCCGAGTCTTTGGTTGCGCTGCATATGTCTTTATCCCTGATGAGAAGCGCGCCAACAAGTTATCGCCCAAATCGGAGCTGATGACCTACTTGGGCATTCCTGATGGTGTGAAAGGATTTTTGTTCATGCGCACAAACAATTCCACGTTCGTCGCCACCAAGGCATTGTTCGACGAGGAGTTGTTCCCCCGCTGTCCTGACAGCAATCGACCACCCCACGTTCCTGTTGGAGAGGAATTTCCAGAACGTGATGACCCAGTGAATCCACAAGATCCACCACAGGTAGACGGAGAAGATTGGCTATATGGAGATAATCCTTTTCCATTTCCCATGCCATCTGATCCGGCTCCACCACCTCCCGTACAGGGAAATGATGATGGTGACGACGGTCATAATCGTCAGGACCCACCGCCAGAGCGTCGGGATGAACCTCAGAGGACTCGTAGAAGTAGAATTCCACGACCAAGTCGGGAAGCTTCACCAGCTCCTGAGCCTCGAAGGTCTTCACGCCAGCGGAATGTGCCTACACGTCCAGGAAACGTCTATGGGGAAAAGCGTACCCCTACGGATATAGTCCGTGACATTCAGAACAGCAGAGGATGGAAGCGGTATGTTGGTGAAGATAAGGGTAGCTCCCAATCTCAACCATCAACCGGTGCTGATGCAGGGGTTCCCGGCCCTAGCTCACAACCAGATTCCTCAAACGCAGGTGCTTCTGATGATCTAGACGAGGATGCACGCATGGAGAAGCTATGCCGGGAAGGGGGAGTAGAGCTCATCACGGCGCTGCTGTCAAAAGCGGTTCCAAATGAGAACCTACCTGATACGTCCAAAATTCGCGATTGGACGTTCCGCGATATCAAGCGGTTGCCTTCTGAACAACAGAAAGGTTGGATTGATGCTTGCCGCGACGAGTTAGAGGCACTTCGTCAGCGTAAGGTCTATTCCCTTGTGGACCGTCCGAAAGGACGGAAGGTTATCAGATGTCGCTGGGTCTTTGACCAAAAATCTGATGGCCGAAAACGTGCCCGCCTAGTTGCCAAGGGTTTCAGTCAAGTCGAAGGTGTTGACTATGACGAGATATTCTCTCCTGTTGTCAGGTATGAGACGTTCCGGTTGGTCATGGCGCTTGCAGCGCTCAATGATTGGCATTGGTCTGGACTCGATGTCAGTAAGGCTTTTCTCTACGGAGAGCTTGACGAAGAGGTCTACATGGAACAACCCGAAGGCTTTGTGGCGAGAGGCCAAGAGCGCAAAGTCATGCGCTTGCACAAGGCAATCTATGGACTCAAACAAGCTGCTTTAGCATGGTGGAAAGCGCTGACCAAGTCCACGAAAGCCATGGGCTGGATCCGACTAACATCGGATGCCGGCGTGTTCTTCTACAAGGACTCTGATGGCAGCATAGCCGTCATAATAGTCTATGTGGATGATGCTCTGTTCTTCTCCAAGAACAAGAAGCTCCTCGCCTTTCTCAAGGCTGAGTTCAACAAGCGATGGGAATGCCGCAATTCTGAAGATACTCCAGAGTTCTTGCGCGTGCGCCTCAGTAGAGTAGGATCTTCGATCAAGATTGATCAGATTCCCTATCTCGACAAGGTGCTAGAGCGCTTTGGGATGCAGAACGCCAAGTTCGCAGCGACCCCTCTACCGGCTGGATATGTTCCAATGCCAAATGAGGATGAAGTCGATCCAGAGCTCAGGAAGAAATTCCAATCAGTCATTGGATCTCTTCTCTTCATCATGCTAGGCACACGTCCTGACATTGCATTTGCTGTGACCAAATTGTCACAATTTGCTGCCAATCCGTCCCAAGACCACCTCCATAAAGCGCTGTATATCTGCCGCTATTTGGCTGGTACTAGGAATTATTCGCTCATTTTCAATGGTGCGACGGATAGAGGGCTCATTGCATTTAGCGATTCAGACTGGGCTGCTGATCCGATCAAGAGGAGGTCTACCACTGGTTTCTTCACGAAATTGGCAGATGGGATTATTTGCTGGCAGTCTAGACTTCAGCGCACAGTCGCGCAGTCTTCTACCGAAGCAGAGTACATGGCGATTTCAGATTGCAGTCGCCAGGTGATGTGGCTGAAGAGCGTCCTTTCGGAACTCCAGTTCAAACTCACCATCCCAGTACCCATTTGCGGTGACAATCAGGGTGCACTCTTCAGTGGCAGCAATGCCTACCGAGACCGCAGGATGAAACACATAGACATCCGCTATCACTACATTCGTGAGCGAGTCGAGGAAGAAGAGGTTGAACTGTTCTTTATTCCGGGCAGTGAGAATCCTGCAGATATGTTCACCAAGAACCTAGGACGCGTCAAGTTCGAGAAGTTCAGGTCCCAACTAGGACTTGAGTTCAACTCGTCCTGAAGGAATGGCCGATGAAGATTTCGCTTTCAAACACTATCCTGTGGTTTTCAGCGTGGGGGAGTGTTGATCAAATGATGATCTTATCATCTGCCAGATGGATGTCGTGATACACATCTTATGACTCCATCACATGTCATCTAGAGTCATGTCGACTCGTCCTAAATAGACACAAATAGCCCCCTGTATTGTATATAAGGAGGGCTCTATTACCCTATAATCCAAGTCTCTTGACTACTCCCGCATAGTGCCCACACTAAGCTCTCAACTCACACAGGTGGGTTGCTAGACGCTCTCCCCAGTGCTCAACACAAAGTATTTCTTTCCCAGCCTATAGTTGGCTGTGGGTTCAAATACAGCATCTGTCTGTGGGGATAAACTAAATGCACCCTCAATGTTCTTATATACAAGCTGAAACACCCATACAGGCAGCCTAAAAGGGTAAACGGAGCATTCACAAATGCATGAGGACAGGATGGTTCTGACCACATCCAGCCCCTGTGGTGGTTGCAACCACCCACTTGAGCCAGCAAAGGGTGATTTTCTTTTCCAGCCTACAGCTGGCTGTGGGGCCAGATACAGCACCCTCCACTCGGTATAATTATAATGCACCCCAGTGTACTTGTCTACAAGCTGAACAGCCTATACAAGCAGCCCGCAAGGCTAATTGGAGTATTTGAGAAGAAAAAAATCCCTGGCCTATAGCTGGCCCTGGGGCTGGATACAGCATCCCCCTCTTGGGATGGGCTGGGTGCACCCCCATTGTACTCATCTGCAAGCTGAACAGCCCATACAAGCAGTCCACAAGGCTAATTGGAGCAATCACAAATGCATGATCACAGGGTGGTTGCAACCAAAGGCCAACAAATGGTCAAGACCACCCTTTTCAACACTCAAAATAAGGTGTGCTACTGCATTTGGGATGGGTGGTTGTGCCCAAAAAGGTGGATGGTCTGAGACCACTGAGTGGTCTTGGACCCTCTTAAGGCTAAAAAATGACCACTTTTGGTACCCTATTAGGGTCTCAGACCATACTGACTGGACTGGCCTCAGTGCAAACCATTCCAAACAGATGTTGGACTTCCGAGTCCTCAAAGACATCAAACGGCAATCCTGCCAAGACAATCACACAAAGAGCTTGATCCTGGAAGGCCTTCTTTTTGGAGGCTGCAAAAAGGAGGTTGTTACATTTGTAGATGGGGAGTGTCAACTACCACATTGCAGAGCTCAAACTTGTTGCAATCTGCAGAGCTGGTGAGGCCTGAGAACAACACTTTGAATTTAGAGGATCTGCTTCTGCTATCATATCTGATTGATGGTGTTTGGTGCCAGCCATCTCCGCCTTTGATTGGGTCCCTTTGCATTGTTCTATTGCATAAGCAACCGCGTTGGCTGATGCATAATCACAGGCCTTCTTGCCTCCGAGGATATGCGCTATCCAAGCTGACTTCTTGCCGCAAATATTGCCAGCTGCATTACAGGCTGCCACACATCATGCATCATGGTTTGAGATTCAAGTTCAAATGAGACTCACCAGCCTCCAATCGAGAGCTCTTGAATCCCAGCACAAACTCCATGTCAATGTCCTCTGCCTCTATCCCTGCTTGCCCCAGACGATGCTTCACACAGCCCATACAGTGTGTTCTCCATTGGTTTTGATTTTGCTTCTCATGGCTTTTCACAAAGTAATCCCAGAATGACAGGGAAGGTGGCATAGAGAGAGGACAATAGATTGGGCAGGATCTGGCAGGACGTGCAGCGGGCAGCATGTAAAATCACACAATATCATTATCACAGATGATCAGTAGACAGATTGGATCCTGATCAATTAAGGTAACTACATCATTGGGAGATCACGTGCTCAACATGTGAGCGATAAGGCTTTTGAAGGCCTTCATGGTGATTTTGCCAACCTATAGGCCTTGCATTGTAGGCCTTATATATGCTTATAGGCCTATAGGCCTTAACTCCATAGGTGAACACTGTTTTCCATGGTGCTTAGTCATCCATTGTTCTTTAGGCTATATATAGAGGACCCTGACAAGGAGAGTCCCCAACTCAGTTTCTCTTTGGACTCTCCCTTGTCAGGTTTTCCAGTCTCCTGTATTAGTCCATCCTCTTATCTGACACTTTGGACTCTCCCTTGTCAGGACTCTGAGATTGGGCCTTGAGGTTGCCCTTACAAGTACAAGGAGAATTGAAGCAAAAAATTGCTTTTGTCTAGAAAATATGTCCCACGAGTTCAAAAAAAAATTGTGACTTGTGACCCTATATTTAAGTGTTCAGTTCAGCAGTCCCTGTGACCTGTGATGTGAATACTTGGTCAAAATTGGACAGTATTCCACTCAGGTGTTGCATTATCTGGGCTTTGGGGTTCCTCTTCTTGATCTTGTGCAACCTTGTTCAGCACTTGCTATTTACTGGTCTGTTCCTTGTCCATTGACAGGATATTGGCACTTTTCCTGACAGATCTGTGGACTTGGTCCAGAAGCTTTGGTAAGTACTGTAAGACCTAAGATCAACCTTACTGAGGTCTCTGAATAATTGTCATTAGTTGAATTGCATGGCAAGGTGGCCGAGAGGTCTAAGGCGTTAGATTTAGGTTTGATTAATCCTTCTCTAATCTTCACGGGCGTGGGTTCGAATCCCACCCTTGTCAATTTTACATCACCTATTGCTAGGTGATCACGATTTTCTACCTCATGCACATTTGCACTCTCCTTGCATTCTTCTCCTGCCCCACTATTTGCTTTTATCAGGTGCCTCCAATCTTCATCTCCTTTATTTGACAGATGAAAGCGAGCGAGAATTCAGACGCAGAAATTTAGGCAAGATGTCCGAGTGGTCTAAGGAGTGTGACTCAAGCGTTTGGCTTGCCTGGAATCAGGTTTCTCATCTCAGCAATGGGGCGTGGGTTCAAATCCCACTCTTGTCATGTTTTGCTGTCCCGCGCTGTTTTCCAATTACTCGATGTTTCATTTTCGTGATCACATTCGGCATGCAGACATGACCCATATGAAAGAACATTACATGATACCCAATTCGTAAGGAAATGCAGGCAACGCGCCTGCGCGATGTAGATATACGACAGTAGCTATACGCCAGTACTGCAGCGTCATGAATAGGCGGAGCTTTCGAGACCCGCTTTACTGACTCGGCGCATTGGTTGGAGAGTATTCTCATCGACGGGGGCTCTCCTCATGTGTCTATAGCGGCCAGCGGCATCACGGACTTCGACGTCCTGTCCGACATGTGAGTTGACACCTTCCGGTCCTTGGGGCTCTGGTGCCACAGAATATGATTGTGTCTGTGCAAATGCCGGTGGTAAACTCTCCCGGATGTGTCCACCGCGTCGGCCATTGCTAACAACACTGTAGCTGGCGTTGTGTGAATGACCCGCGCCAGCGCCATGGTTGTTGGAGTCCTCATTGGCTGAGGCTGGCTGGACGCCAATGCTCTTTCCCCCCAGCTCCTCCTCTTCAAATGTCATCAGTTCGCTCACAAACCCGATATTGGGAGAGATGCCCTTCCGTCGCTCTAGCACAAATGCATACGCCTGGGAAAGAGTCCAGTGGTTTGCGTGAATGAGGTAGGCCATGACCGCCGTGACCGACCGGCTTTTTCCAGCCTTGCAGTGAACGTAGGTGGGTGCAGAATGCAATCGTGCGTCATCTGAAATTCATCCTTTAGCCCCACAGTCATGAAGTTGGTTGCGCACACACCGAGAATTTCGCAGACTTGTCTGACACCCCTGGCGATGTTCTCCTCTTCCACGGTATCCCTCATCGGAATCTTGACGTACTTGAACACAGTTCGAAGATGCAGTCCTTGATCATCATCGCACTCTGCCGCGATGTTGAGGATGCGCTGTACACCCAGATTCCGTAGTTCGGACACATGTTCGGCCGCAGTCAGTTCCGGGCCTAGGAACAGGAATCCAGGCAGGATCGTGCTAACGGTGAATTCGGGGAACGGTTCTTCTGTTGTTGGCGGGTCATCAGGACGCGCTGTGGGGGGCGGATCCCGTCCGAAATGGAAGCCACTTGGACCGCCACGAGGTGTACCAGGTGTGTGCGGCGGGGTAAAGTATGCGGTAGGGAACTCGTCAGTCCCAGAGAGAGGTGATGATAAGGTCCAGGGCGTCGGAGGAGAGGAGGATCCACTGCGGGTTGCTGGTATGAGACTCATGCTTGCCGACTTCAATGGCACAGTCCGAACTGAGAGTTTCAGTCGTTCCGCAGATTTGGTATCCAATTTACGCAAGTTGGGTGCAGACGGTCTTCTCGCCGGAGGGAGTGGTTTCCTGAAACCGGCGTGAGAAGGAGGTGGGGACGGTGCCGCGTCAACAATGTTAAGAGGATTTGGGGGCATCATGCTTGACATCAATGGAAGCGGCGATCTGGGTGGCTGAGATTTCGCTGCGGTACTGGCGGTGAGCGTTGATGAGAGACTGGGATTGATCTCCAATGACGACCGGCTATCGATTTCGGGTAACAGTTTGGATCGGAGTGCAGCTTGGGTATCGAGTTGGAAGAGACCACTTCCGGTGTGTTCCGCTTCACCACCTGCTATAATCAGGGTCTCCAGATCCGGATTATGCCCAGCAGTCGATATCCCGCCTCTGAGATGATATGCAGTCCCATACGTGAGCAAAGGGGCAAGAACAGGAAACAAGGACACATCCTCCTCCTCCCCGTATACGACCACATCTCCGTCCCAGGGTCCACCCGGGTTCATTAAGCCATCCCAGTCTCTTTTTCCAGCTTCGCTCGTCACGTACTGTCGCAGAGTATCGAGAGACTGGAATGGCGTCTTCTTCGACCGCTTGAGAATGAGAGACGGGATGGCAAGGTTGATGCTATGCCGAATGTGGAACGCCAGGTGCGAGGCAGGTGGGCGCGTGTCGATGAGCAGCGGTCGACGGGGCGCACGCACGCGCTGGTACAACAATTCCGCATCAATCGACTGAGGGTGAGTGAGTGGTTCCTTCGGCGGCGGCGGTCGGCCGGCAGATTTTGTTACAGTCGCGCCGAGAAATCTGGCGCTGACAGGCGTATCTCCCTGCGCTGTGAAGTATGCCGAGAGACTCGATCCAGGACTGGATGTTGAGTCCCAAGGAGACGAGTCCCCCAATTGTACTTTCGGCAAGGATCCCGACGATTTGATAGGCCGCAGGCGGAGATTTTGTTGAACATTCTGTCTGAGCTGTTCGAGGCGTTCGAGTGAGCGAGTGATATCGCCTTCGTCCGAGAGGGGTGAGTCGAAATCGTTGGCCAAATCTAGACCTTCGTCTTCTTCAAGTGGCATTGGAGATTCCTCCTCAAGCTCGACGTTGGAGGCCCGGGGCGCTGCCTGGATTGTCAAGTTCGGAGGACGGCCTCGTTTGTAGGTGGTGGCCATAACTGCAGCGGAAGACAACCAAACAGTGGTAACGACAATCACTGCCACACCCGTTACAGTTGTAATGGAACAAGCGATGAATTGTTACAATAACATTGAGTGTGAGAGATTGTAAGTAACAGGAACGACACGAGATATTAGCAAGAAAAAGGAGGAATGTTATGCAACTACTGCCAGTACTGTCTGCCCTGCTGGTAAGAGTAGAACTCGTTTTGACCTTGGGAATAGCCGAGGTGGCCCTGCGGGTTGTGGTGAGCACTGTTATGACTATTGTGGTGCGTGCTGTTATGATGAGCAGTGCCCTGGGGCCCATTGCTGCCGACTCCAGCGCTGTTCCCTGATCCAAAACGGCCGCCCCCGTAAAAGGCGCCAGGCTGGGCCTGTTGCTGACTCTGGCTGGCCTGTCCCTGACCCTGCTGTTGCTGCTGAGCCTGACCGCCTCGAGAGCCAGCACCAGCATTGGCGCTGACGCCGACGTCCTTGCCCGCACCATATGGCTTGTATGCTGTCTCTGGAGAATTTCCGCCGCGCGATTGCGGACCACTCAAAGCTCCGAAGCTCTGATTACCGCCGTACATAGGCTTGCCGTATTCGTTAACATTGCCGCCTTGGCTGAGGAGACTGTGGTGCTGCTGCAGTGACTGCTGAGGTTGGTAATCATCATATCCTTGCTGGTAGAGGCCTTGACCTGGTCCATACTGTCCGCTCTGACCGGCTTGCTGCGTCGGCTTTCCCGCCTGGCCACCGGGGCCGCTGCTGGGCGGTCCGGGGAAGACGGGATACTTGACATAGGGATAACCGGAGTTGTACGGAGCACCGTAGTAAGGGGGCTGGTTCTGCGCCGGGTAAGGGTAATAGTGATACTGCATTGGCGGTGGGTATCCCTGCTGTCCTTGCGGACCAGGACCTTGAGGACCTTGCTGACCGCCCTGGGCTCCGGCGCCAGGTGTAGGGCCACCCTGCTGAGCGGGCAACACTTTGATGTCGTCATGACCTAATACACCACGCCCGAAAGACGATCCCGGGCTCTGGTAGCCATCGTAGAAGCCACGCTGGCCCTCCGAGTGCCCATACTCCTGACCAGCAAATCCACCGAGGCCTTGCTGATGTTGTTGCTGCTGGCCAACACTGACTCCGAGCTGACCAAATGGCCCATACCCGGTGTCCTGATTACCGGCGGGTGGAGTCGGTGCATGAAAGTATGCTGGGGACCCGGAAGATACAGGTTGTTCGTTGCGGAAGTAGTTGGAGCTGGTTCCGGTCTGGTTCTGGCTCTGGCTCTGGCTCTGGCTCTGGCTCTGGCCTTCGATGTGAGTCGGAAGACCATGTTGAGCGTATTGCTGCTGCTGCTGTTGAGCAGCGAGATGGGGAGGAACGAAGTTGCCATTTGTCTGTTGCCCATACGACGTGGGTTGCGCCAACAAGTTCAAGTCCGGCGGAACGTCGGCCAGCTTGGATGGTTGAGACATGACCGGCTGGGATACAGACGGTGGCAGGTTGTGCTGGGGCGCTGCTTGTGGCGGCGGCGCCGATGGTTGAAACAACGACGATCCTAGAGATGTCGAGGCAGCGGACGTCAAAGTGTTGGCGGGGGCAGCCACTGGAGGTTCTATATGGGATGGCGGTGTTGATGGTGTCTGCCCAAGAGCAGGCTCAGGCGCTGACTCGGAGTCGGGTCTGAGCTTTGATTATCAGTTTCTTTCGCAACGATAAGTGTAACACTCACGCATCACCCCCCAAACTCAAACTGCCGAACTGCATACCGACCTTCTCAACGCCAGATCCAAAGGAACTGGGCATTACCACAGCCTGGTCGATCGCCCGGTATCGTGCGCTGTTGCGATGGGACGACGGGGCGGGTCGCAATGACTTGATGGCTGGAGAGGGAACAGGCGATGGGACTGCTGCTGGCGCAGCAGGCTCCGGAATAGATTCCTCAGGCTGGACTTCAACCACAGGCTCGGCTATGGGCTCGACGGGTGGCTCGGTCGTGGCTCCCCACACATCAGCTGCTGAAGTGGACGGTTTGATAATCGGTGCTTCTTCTTCCCAAGAAGGTGATTGTACGGTAGTCGGTTCTTCCCATCCAGCGGGTTGTGGCTCGAGTTCAGCTGGAGGCGGGACGGAGGGAGGCGACGGGGGCATGGTTGTTGCAGGAATTGGGATAGCAGTCGGAATGAGAGAAGGTGCTGGTTTCTCCTGAGGTCTGAATGGACCTAATTAAAAGAAAGAGAAGAGGGCCAGTATAGAATACACACCTGGCGATTTGAGCCCACGACATCTTGGACGTCGCCGGAGTCTTGGACACTTTCGGTACGACAGGGATCAAAGCAGGGGCAGGGGCAGCAACAGACACCGCAGGGCTAGCCGAATCCGACTCAGCTGCCCAAGTCGTGTTTGTACTGGATGCGCCCCAGGTCGAGGGAGTCACCGAGTTCGTGGGTGCTTCCGTACTCTCTACCCAGTTCGAGGTAGATGGGACACCTTCTGCGGAACTGGTCGTGGATTCTGCCCATGCGTTCGGCGTTCCAGCGCCAGACAAACTAGGCGAATGAGCATGTCCATTGACTGGAGTGGAGCCCCGCACGCCACCGCGGCTTCGTGGTGCAACGCCGCCGCGCGTTGATCCCCCTCTTCCGCCTCGCACACCACCGCGCCCACCTCGGAAGTCTCCTCGAGTGCCCGGGAAGGAGAGTGAGTCCTTTGAAGCGTGACTAGAGGTGTTTGCATGCGGTTTCTTCAGCGCTTTGTCCTTTTTGCCAGACACAGCCCATTGCTCAACATGACCTGTAAAGCCATTAGACCCCTCCAGTCGAGACAAATACAACAGTATATACCCTCGCTAAGTCTCGCTGCAGCTACTTCGACGTCGCCACCCACTTCAGCTAGAAGAGACTGCAAGTCTGCGGCGAAAATGAGGCGCGTCAAACCAAAAAGAAAGAGTAATCGCGCACCGTCGTTGGACCACTTTGGGAAGAGCTCCTGAAGCTGACGTGCTTGGGTGCGGTACTTGTTGTTAGCCTCTGGCGCAGATGCACCAATCGCACTTTTATACGACATTTCCGATGAATCCAAGAGTGATGAGAAGAAGGAGCGTGCAATCAACAACTGCAAACAACAACACCTTCAGGCTGCGCGCTTTCAAGTTCGGTGCACAGTCATGTATAATTTCTAGGCCCGCCTCGCAACGTTTCTGCGGATTGGAACATGAGCATTTAGGCTTCATCTTCTCCTGTCCTTTCATAATCACGCACTGACTATCACCCTCTTAGCCCGACTGCAGGATCAGCATGGCTTTCCTGTGGATATACCTACTCCTACTGGACCCACCAGCATCGTTTATTTCGATCGAAAAGTTCCTCTCCGAACCCAAAACAACGATAGATCTAAAACTTTCTCATTCTTCTATCTCTCGGCTGGTGTCGTGCGAGCTGGCCAAGCACAATTGCGTGCATTCGTGTGTGTGTGTTTCTACTATGTGCACTAGACTTTGTCTGCCGATATATCTGACCTGAGTCGCCGCTCATTCGAGTCCGCCGTTTCAACTTCAACTCGTGAATGTTGGTCCCTGTGCATGTGATCGCATTTGATCGCATGATCGCATGAAGTCTGCGTGTGCCTCCATTCGTGAATCCATCCGGTGGCTGCCAAACGAGCCCAGTGAGCCGACAGATACCATAGTCCTTACTGGGCTTCACAGCGGTATATTTGTCGATGTCCGGTTCGAGAAGGAGGGTCATAGTCTCGATTGGGCTTTTGCAGGTTACCGCTCATCTGGTACTTCTCGACGCTCTTCCCCAAGTCTTGTGGATGATATATCCACAGATGGACCTGTCACCATATTCAAACATTGCATCGACTCTCGGACACTGGTGAGTTGCCATTGACCTTGTCTTACTTGTGTGAACCAGCACAATCGCTGTAGAATCCACTTGATGTTGTCGACCAAGGAACGAACAAAACTTTGCCGTCGGGAACGATTGTTGAATCCGGGGAAATGATCAACCCATCGACAAGTCTGATGACTTCATATGAAGAGGTGTGGAGGGACGAAGAACACGACACAGGCATCTTCATGCGCAACTCCACGTCGTCAGAATGGCGCGCTATGGTCGGCTGTCACCAGCTTGCTCTCGGGAGGACGAATGACCATTTTTGGGCCTGGCAGGCGGTGAAAGGTGCAGATGGGTGGAAATTGCAGCATTCGTTCGGGTTCGACGGCCGGACAACCTTGTTGCCGGACCATCATCTAGATTGGGCAACGCAGCAGAACATCATGCTATGGGACGGAGATCTCTGGTCTGTTTTCTATGGATGAGCTGTGTAAATTCCACAATTATGGATGATCGACCAAAGAAATATGGCAAACAAATCGTAAACATGCACTCCGGCGGATGGCAAATAACAGGAGTCGTAGAGAATCATTTATATTACAAATATCGGAGCACAAAAAAGCGTATTATTCCTATTTGAAAAAAGGCTTGTGATGCATGTCTGTTGAAGATGACGGTTTAATCAAACAGTCAGAAAGAGAAAAAATCGGAAAAGAGAGAGGAACTCACCTACTGTACCAATTCAATCAATTCGACACCGGGGCCCGAATTTTTGCCCAAAAAAAATCCCAAAGAAATCTGAAAAATCAAGAAAGAATTAAATCCGTGGTCTAATTTTTGGGGTGTAACGCGTGACTGTCGATTTGATTAGATTGGTACAGTAATCAGTATCTCCCACTGTCTGAAAACGGAGCGTGATCGGAGCAAACAGTGATCAGAGGGAATGAGATCTTGGAACCGGTCCTAGTTATGGGTTATGCAAGATCTCTGATTGGGGGCTCTGTCACCCCGGCAGATTGCGGATAAAAGAGGCCATGAAGATAAATTTATATTGTAAGTATTGGATCACAAAGAAAAATCCTATATATGTAGCCCGATAGTTCAAAAAAAAAAGGCTACTCGAAAGTGTCCTCATTATATCAAATATTGAGTCCCAAAATGGGCCATCTGAAATATGAAATATTGGGAGCCATTACAGATAACTTCTTTTTGGGCAACCTTTCTTACATATCAGGGCTCTCTATCTGATCTTCAATATCTTTGGTTTTGATAAGTACATTATTGAGCCCAATCTTACCCATAAAAGCTTAGAATGAGTGGCCACGATATCAGCAATATCGAGGCCCAAAAACGAGCCAACATGATAACACAGATATTGGGGTCAAGATCATCTATTGGCCAATGATCCGATGGATGGTGAATTACAAAGGATACTGATGTTGATAGGTGGTTATTTACACTATTTACATGGGTAATTACATGGATAACAGATATCAACTATATGAAGAATACAGAAACACTATGTAGATTATCAAAGTTCACTTGATGTTAGCGAGGAAATCAGACATACAGCTTTGAGATTCTTGGAAAGGTGTAAGGTGCCACTGTACCCACGGATCCTTTCCTTCCAGTGCATGTTGTTCAGAACAACAGCTCAATTTTCTGACATCTCGAGCAGGATTCCTTGAAACCAGCGCTTGCAATCCAGAGTCCACAAACCAAGACTGAGTCCTGACGAGTAGAACGCTCCAGCTTGTGGCCACCATGAAATACGTTTCTCTTGGTGTCCACTGCGTGCACTGGGATTCAACTGGTCTAAGTATATTGTGAGAATTGTGTTCTTACTTATCAACATTGAAGAAACTTACTCATTTTGATGCTGTATACGCCAAGCACAAGATCCTCTTCATCCTTAGTCAATGCATGGTAATAGAATGAACCATCGTCAAATTTAACCTGCTCCTTGGCAGTCTCGATGTCAATATCCTCCATTCTTAGTTCCAGTTCCGGGTCATTGATGACCATGTGGGTGAGCTGAGCAATGACACCACCCGCTTGGAGAGCGAGTCAACCACGAGGAGACAAGAGGAAACGCTTAAGGAGATCCAAGTATGTGTAGAGATCATGCTGATTTGGGCTGTAACCTTCTGGACAAACTCCGAGGCTGCAACAGCAAAGGAGATCTGGTTGATAAGAGGATGGCATGGAGCTGGAAGCCTCTACTACAATGGTAAAGGGAGCTCCAAGATTGTAGAGGATCGCAATGATCTCCGCTCAGGAACGACAATGGCGGCAGATAAGCTGCAAGACCATAGTGGCGCTAAAGATAAGAACTTGTTGGTCAGATTCTTGGATGCGCGCCTTGAGCACATATCCTGTGGAGCAATGTGTTTTAGTGCTCAATCCCTGGAGCAGATTCTGTCATAGTTCAGCCACTTTTTCATCTTATCATCGACGATCTTATCTTATCTTGGCACGACTTATCTTATCACGGATCACGGCATCAGACGATCCGGACTAGGGGTTCCAGGGATTATCTTCATCGATTCGAGGCTGCGCGACATATGCTCCGGAAGGTTCTAGTACAACCCATGACCAGCATTCCATGCGGTACATAGTCTTATGACTCATTAGTTGTAGATATGACTCAGACTGGATTTGGGTATAAATACTGTAGCTACCTGGTTGTATTCTCCAGTCTTCGAATTCACTTCTCTTTTCGACTTGTTTCTGGGTTGATTGTCACATAATTCGAAGACTCCCCTCATACCCTCCTACCTCATACCTCTTACCCTGCATCTTGCACCGCTACGCCTGCTATATCCTCTTAACCCTTATCACCCCACTCACCCTTTTACCGAATCATCTAGTCGTCCTCCACTATCGCAGTGAAGGGTTCATATCGAGCAAACAGCACCAGGCCACGGGTAACGTTGAGCCCGACCCAAGCCTTACGGTAGCTACAAGGAGTGCTGCGGAGACCTTCGGGAAAACGCACCTCGGGATCATCGGGCACGTGAAGAGCTAGGCCCGGGATCTTTTTGCTAGCAAAAGAACCCTCCCTCGAGTGCTTGTACAGCACACGATTCCACGATTTCGTACCAATTCCCATCGTCGTCTGGGAGTCCATCCCCTCCCCCCATCGTACCATCGTCGCCCGATCTGGCGCATCAAAACCAACCCGGGCCCTCCGACCCCTACCTCGCCCTCCCACCGCCTGAAGACGAGATCCCCGACCTTGGCGAGTTACCCTCCGAACAACCACCCTCGCCTCCACCTCACACGCCTGCCCCTACCATGTCAGGGCATCACCGCATCACACTCGCCGCCAACCCCCCCTACTTCGATGGCGACAAGTCCAAATACCTGGGCTTTGTGGACGCGTGCACCACTTACATCGGTGCCTATCGATCGGAGTTCTCACAAGATGAGACCAAAATCCTCTTTGTCCTCTCCTACCTCCGTAACGAGAACGGCACGAGCTGCGCTGCCTCGAGATGGGCGATGAACTGGAAGCAGCACAACTTCGATGGCTTCCAGGGACTGAAGGCAGGAGTCACATCAAAGAACTTCCTGGAGGAGTTTCAGAGGGCGTTCGGGGACTCCAATGCGGAACAAGTCGCCGCTGCTCGGCTTATGGCCCTGCATCAAAACAAACGATCCTTCGCGGACTACATCTCCGACTTTGAGATGCTGGCCGCGGATGCAGGCTACAATGTGGTTGACACCACCGACGACAAAGGCAAATACAAGAAGGGGGACCAGGATAATATCCTCATCGAGTTCCTGGAGCGCGGACTCAGCAGCGAGATCGCCAGCCGTCTCTACAACACCGGTGTCCCTCTGCCCAAGGCCTATGGAGCGTTCAAAGCCTGGTGCATCAACATCGAAGCCAATGCTCTGCGTGACCAGCTGCGCAAAGCGTCGTATGGGCACCCCACACAACGACCACCTCCCCAGTTCCGTCCCCAAACGGCACCAGTGGCGCCCACACCCGCTCCGGCCCGACCCGCTGCCAACGAACCGGTTCCGATGGAAATCGATCGTACCCATACCCGCGGCCGCAATATCATCTGCTACAACTGTCAGCAGCCCGGGCACATTGCGCGGAACTGCCCGGAGCCCAAGAAGAAGCGCACGTTCTTCAATCGGGCCACAATGCTGGAAGAAATCGAGAATGGGGACAAGGACAACGAGTTCCTGAAGGAGATTGCCGAGAAGCTGCGCGAGAAGGGTTTTTGAAGCGCTCCACTCCTCTAGCCAAGGAGGTGGAGCGTCCGGACTATGGACGATTTTCTGTACTTGTTTCGATTAAAGACACGGACAATATTTCATCTACATACACGATCTCAGACTCACTACGTACAAATATTCACGATTTTCTTATTGCCGAGATGGAAAAAGAACGCCAGGAAAAGATAGCTCTAAATAGAAAATACTTACAAGATAAAAAGGATCAGAAAGCTGCAGATAAATTATTTTTGGACTCCTACGTATTTATGGCTCGTGGAGAAGGAACCACGTCAACAAAGACCGAAAAGGGGAGCATTGCTCCGAAGGCTCGATCCTTGGAAAAGGAGGAAGCGCCCAAGGGATCTGCCAAAATCGAGGTCCCAGAAGCACCCAAACGCACCAGGGTGCCAGATGCCATCCAGAGGAAATTGGCGGCCGAGAAACAGAAGGGCCCCCAGCCCAGCAGATTGGCGCAGGAATTGCGCAGTTACCAAGCCGAAAGAAAGAGGCATTCGATGGACGTATATGTCCAGATCACGGGCCTGGACTCAGGGAAAACGCGTGGAGTCAAGGCGCTGCTCGATAGTGGCTGCAGCACCTGCTGCATCGACACCGACTACGCACGGGCAGAAAAGCTGGATATCCAAGAGCTTCCGCAACCCATTGTAGCTCGTAACGCCGACAACACCGAGAACATCAGCGGTCGGATCACGCACTACGTCGACTTGAGAATGAGAATCGGTCCTCATGTGGAGACACGCACGTTCCTTCTGACATGTCTGGGAAAAGCCCGGATCTTCATCGGCCTGGATTGGCTGACGGAACACAACCCCGAGGTGGATTGGCAGGAGCAGACAATGAGATTCAGCCGATGCCCAGAGCAATGTCAAATGAGGGGTCACGAGGAGCACCAAGCGATGATCGACATGGATGCAATTGACCTGGACGCGGGTGCACCGGATCTGGAAGAGGGAGAATCGATCTTGTTGATCGACTTTGGAAAGGAGGTAGACCTACGGCTGAAGGAAACACCGGCGCAGAAATTCGCAGAAGAAGCGGAAAAGGAGAAGGAGAGAATGACCGAGGGAAAGATTCCAGATCAATACCGAGGATTCGTCAAAGTATTCGCCAAGGAATCATTCGACTCGCTACCGGACCGACGGGCATGGGATCATGTGATCGAGCTCAAACCAGGCTCCAAAGCAGTGGACTGCAAGGTGTACCCATTATCACAAAATGAACAGGTCAAACTCAATGAGTTCTTACAAGAGAACCTAGCCAGTGGACAAATTAGACCATCAAAATCACCCATGGCATCAGCATTCTTCTTTGTCAAGAAGAAGGATGGCTTGCTACGCCCCATACAAGATTATCGGAAGCTGAATGAAATGACGATCCGAAATTGGTACCCGCTACCGCTGATTTCCGAACTGGTCCACAACCTGTGCGGCGCCAAGTTCTTCACCAAGCTAGACATCCGGTGGGGATATAACAATGTACGGATCAAAGAGGGCGACGAGTGGAAGGCTGCATTCCGCACGAACCGAGGGCTGTACGAGCCCTTAGTTATGTTCTTTGGTCTCACGAATTCTCCGGCAACGTTCCAAAACATGATGAACGACATACTCCGGGAACTGATCAACGAGGGACATGTGGTAGTTTATCTGGACGACATACTAATCTTCACAGAAAATCTGGATGAACATCGACGAATCACCAAACGGGTACTCGAGTTGCTCCAAAAGCACAAATTATACCTGAAGCCGGAAAAGTGCGAGTTCGAACGCACGGAAATCGAATACCTGGGTGTAATCATTGGACACAACTCGATGCGGATGGACCCTGTCAAGATCAAGGGCGTGATGGAATGGCCGGAACCAAAGAGCGTCAAACAAGTCCAAGCCTTCCTCGGATTCACAAACTTCTATCGACGTTTTGTTCGGGGGTATGCGGAGGTCGCCAAGCCATTGACGCGGCTGACAGGGAAGGCAGGATGGTCATGGGGTCCGGATGAACATGCGGCGTTTGATGGGTTAAAGAAGAGAATCGCGGAGGATGCCGTCTTAGCACTGCCAAATGACACCGGCCAATATCGTCTAGAAGCCGATGCTTCGGAAGGGGCAACAGGATCTGTTTTGAGCCAAAACCAAGACGGCATTTGGCGCCCAATTGCATTTATTTCGCATGCATTAACGGAAACCGAGCGAAATTACGAGATCTACGACAAGGAAATGCTTGCAATCATGTTATCGCTCGACGAATGGAGGCAGCTACTCTTGGGGGCCACAGAAACGTTTGAGATTTTCACTGATCATCAGAACCTCGAATACTTCCGGAAGCCACAAAAGCTCAATCGACGACAAGCACGATGGATCACAGAATTAGCAGAATTCGATTTCACCTTACGACACCGGCCCGGCGCACTCAACCGCAAGGCGGATCTCTTATCTCGACGAGCGGATCACGATCAGGGCAAGAACAACAACAAGGATATCACTCTGCTGAAACCCGAATTCTTCCGGTCACAAGAAGTCACATTCGAGGGGCAAGATCAGCAGCTAATCGATGAGATCAAGGCTACTCGATCAATTGATGGAAGCGTCAAAGCGGCCTTGGAGAAGTCACTCGTCGGGTGGAAAAAGGAAGATGGGCTCATCACGTACCATGGGAAGCTCTACGTGCCGAGGAATGAGGAGCTACGAGACAAGATCATCGGACTACACCACGACACACCTTTGGTCGGACACGCTGGGATCAACCGAACGCAGGAGATGGTGGAAAGGAACTACTGGTGGCCAAGGATGGGAAACCAAATTCGGAAATACATCCAGACGTGCGAGGCGTGCCAGCGGACCAAGACCAGAAGAGCCAGGACAGGGAGTTTGCACCCGCATGCAGTTCCAAATGCGCCGTGGGAAATCATCTCCATGGATCAGATCGGACCCCTGCCGGTCAGTAACGGGTATGACGCAATTCATGTGTGGTGTGACACCTTCACCAAGATGATCCATGTCGAACCAATTAGTACTGACATCAGCAGCGAAGGAGTGGCACGATTAACCAGGGACCGAATCTTCCGCTATCACGGGGTCCCCCGCAAAATCATCACCGACAGGGACTCTCGATACATCAAGGGCTTTATGAAGGAAACGAATCGGATGTTGGGCGTGGAAATGAATCCGGGGACCGCATATCACCCCATCACGGATGGGCAGACGGAGCGTATGAATCAGGAGATCGAACACTATCTCCGCATTTACGTCAACTACCATCAGACGGACTGGTCGGAGTGGCTGGGAATGGCGGAATTCGCATACAACGACAAAATGAACACGTCTACCAAAATGTCGCCGTTCTATGCTAATCACGGATACCACCCATGGAAGGGAGTGGAGCAGCGGATGGAATCAAGGAACGAGTCGGCGGAGGAATTTGTAAAAAGAATCAAAGAAATACAAGACGAAGCAAAAGCAGCATTGGAAAAAGCAAAAGAAAAAATGAAAAAATACTACGATAAACAAAGAAAAGAAGTTCCGGAGTTGAAGGTGGGGATGAAGGTGTACATAGAGGGGGACAATATCGAGACGGACAGGCCTTCGAAGAAGATGAGCGACAAGAGATTGGGGCCATACGAGATACTGGAGAAGGTTGGAGCGGCTGCATGGAAGCTGAATTTGCCGGACACGGACCGAAGACACCCGGTGTTCAACGAGTCACTGTTGACACCCTATCACGAACCACCCTCCCATCGCCGAGAGAAGAGACCCGTGGCTAAGATGATCGGAGGAGCAGAGGAGTGGGAAGTCGAAGAAATCGTGAAAGAGCGAAAAGTCGGCCGAGGAAAACAGTACTTGGTCAAATGGAAGGGATGGCCGCACAGCGAGAACACCTGGGAACCATCACGTCACCTTACCCACGCGAAGGACGTCCTGAGAGACTGGCAGAGGAAACAATCAAATCCAGACACACGCATTCGCCTCCTGCCAACACTCGAAGCTGGACACTGGGACTATCTCATTCATCGCTACAAGCCCAGGGACGAGCGCCTTCCATATCCCCAACGACAGCTCTTCGACCCTTGCGAGAACGTCTTCTTACCCATTGGTCTAGTCAATGAGGACATCGACCCTAGAGAGGGGGTAATGTCATAGTTCGGCCACTTTTTCATCTTATCATTGACGATCTTATCTTATCTTGGCACGACTTATCTTATCACGGATCACGGCATCAGACGATCCGGACTAGGGGTTCCAGGGATTATCTTCATCGATTCGAGGCTGCGCGACATATGCTCCGGAAGGTTCTAGTACAACCCATGACCAGCATTCCATGCGGTACATAGTCTTATGACTCATTAGTTGTAGATATGACTCAGACTGGATTTGGGTATAAATACTGTAGCTACCTGGTTGTATTCTCCAGTCTTCGAATTCACTTCTCTTTTCGACTTGTTTCTGGGTTGATTGTCACAGATTCACTATAAAGCCACTGTTTGTCCAGATGTGATTGGCCATCTCGTTGTTGCGCAGGTCAAAAAGGTTGGGTGGCAGATCTTGAACGCGCTTAGCCTTGTTCAGTGCTTGTAGCAGTGCCCTAGCTGCATTGCTCAGCATAAGCAGGGTGGAAGACCCCGTGTCACCAAGAAAGTGCACGCTGATTTGAGGACGAATCATCTCCACATCAGTAAAAGAGCGCTTGGAGTCCTCAATAAACCCTATGTGGTATTCAAGAACGGCTCTTGCTGGGTTACAATCAGAGACGTTGACCGGAGTTGGGCTCCACGGTTTCTCTTCATTGCTGATGTTGGCGGTGTATGTGTCAACTTGTTGAAGGATAGTGGTAGCATTGGTCAGTGCTGACTGTACTTTGGTAGACAGTCCCACTGGAAGCTTGATCTCAAAATTGTGCACAGACTTTGTGGGACCAGGAGCTTGATAGCCTTTGTTGTTGTCATTGTTGTCGTCATGCTGCACGGCGGCAGCGGAACAAAAGTAGTTGTAGTAGTTGTGGAAGTTGTTTCTTGTCATCGTTGTTGTTGTTGTTGTTGTGCTCTACACATGCTTGGGGATCCACAGGATGACAGAGGTCCTACTTGTTTGCAAACAAATCGTAAATGCACTGTAATTGCACAAAATTGACCCATTCATCCTCGATGTCATTGCATTGAAGCAGTCAACGGACCCAAAACTTCTCTGTTTCTTTCCATATGAATACTTGAGCACCTTTCCTGCTGGGACAACCCTGCGAAGCTGCGCTCTGCTCATGTTGCGGATGCACTTGCTTATGCTGCGGAAATTCTTCTGCAAGTCTGCGTTTGTTGTGAGCATTGTGGTGGGTGAAGAAGTCAGTGAAGCTTTCCCCTTCCTTTTGACCGCTGTGAGGCTCAACAGGCAGAAATTGCTGTTGTTGTTGAATACAGAAAACTCAGATGGGAGCCGCAGAAGGCTAGGGGGACGGATGAGAGGCAAAAAACCCAGTAGGTCACATTGATCTGATACTATATACTATGCATCTGTTGAACACAGAAAACTCAGATGGGAGCCGCAGGAGGCTAGGGGCACAGATGGGAGGCAAAAAGCCTAGTAGGTCACATTGATCTGATGCTATATACTATGCATCACAGAGTAATGTCACACCCTTTGTCCAAACCAAGCACACACAATATCCACACATCAACACTCCCACCCTTGAGAGGACAAAGCAATCCAGAAACCCACCCACTCCCACCCAACTGAGACAATCCCACTCCCACCCAATTGAAATCCCCCAGATCCTCAAAAATCCAGACAGCCCCTGCACCCAATTCGAGTCTTCTTCAGGATCCAAGTTGATCAGCAGAGATCCAGGGAGATCCAACAAGATCTGGCCAATTCACCAAGATATTGAAGTGTGGAAAGGATGTCTTGCTTGGTTCAGACAAAAGAGTGTTACTTAGCTATGTGACCATCAGTACATAGCTCTAGATTAATGTGATAGACTGGGCTTTTTGCCTCCCATCTGTGCTCCTAGCCTCCTGCGGCTCTCATCTGTGTTTTCTGAGTTCAACACAAGATCCAATAAGATTCAAGCAGATCCAACATGAATTTTGGCCTTCACAAGACAGGATAGGGTGGTGGGGACTAGTATGTGCAAGGGGCAGCAGCACAGAGCAAAATCCATCAAAATCTATCAAAATCGGGAAAGGAGGGAGGAGTGAGAGCAGGGAGAGTGGCTGAGGAAGAGTGGTGAAGCAGGGAGCACTCCAGGGAAATGTGTGTATGTAGCAGCTATACGGTAGCTGTGAACTCATCTGCATGAATCTGACACCCTCTCTAACATCTCCACCCAAGATCTGGCTGATCCATCCCAATCCCTTTCTCTAATATGGTTGTGCAGGTGGATGAGGTTGAAATGGTGGTCCTGGAGGTGGCAGATGGTGGTAGATAGTGGCAGAAAGGAGATCAGGCAGAATTGAAAAAATGCGCAGCAAGGGGAAGGCCAATAAGGGGCAGGGGGAGAAGAAGAGAAGTTATAGATGGGTCAGAGTGGGGCTTATAACCTGTTGAACACAGAGAACTCAGATGGGAGCTGCAGGAGGCTAGGGACACAGATGGGAGGTGAAAAGCCCAGTCTGTCACATTGATCTAGGGCTATGTACTAATGGTCACATAGCTAAGTAACACTCTTTTGTCTGAACCAAGCACACACAAAATCTACACATCAACAGTTGTCCAGTCTTCAAAGATTTGTAGTATTCTAGATCCGGGAGTATACCAAATTGACACGTGTTTGAGGGGACAAAAACATATTCTTTGCTTGCAATGGCAACTGAAGGACGCTGATTCAGCGCATGAATTATATCTTGCACGCTCAGGCAAATGTTGCTCATTAACGGGAAAGCCTCCACATGTGTGACATGTTTGAGGGCAGCATCACCTTTGCCCAAGACGTAGTAGATTGGGAGATGTATGTGGACTATGCTGTTAATAAGCAGAGTGAATAGCTATTTGAGCTCGTGCAGGTTCTTGAGTATGCAAACCAAAATCAATCCCGCTGGATGTCAGAGAAGATGTTTAACAACAGATTCCAGTGAATCCATGAGTTGATGTTGCCGCCTTGACGCTTCCATCAATCGATCGGACGGCCTTGATCTCTTTGACCAGCTGCTGATCTTGCCCTTTGAATGTGACTTCTTGCAATTGGAAGAACTCAGGCTTCAGCAGGGTGACATCCTTGTTGTCATTCTTGCCCTGGTCGTGATCCGCTCGTCAAGATGGGAGATCTGCCTTGCGGTTGAGTGCGCCGGGCCAGTGTCGTAATGTGAAATCAAACTCTGCCAACTCCATGATCCATTGTGCTTGCTGTTGGTTGAGCTTCTGCGGTTTCCGGAAGTACTCAAGATTTTGATGATCGGTGAAGATCTCAAATGTTTTGGTAGCCCCCAGGAGTAAGTGCCTCCATTCGTCCAATGATAGCATGATCGCAAGCATTTCCTTGTCGTAGATCTTGTAATTCTGCTTGGTTTCAGTCAATGCATGTAAAATAAACGCGATTGGTCGCCAAATGTTGTCTTGTTTTTGGCTCAAAACAGAGCCTGTTGCCCCTTCCAAAGCATCGGCTTCCAGACAATATTGGCCCACATCGTTTGGCAGTGCTAGGACCGCGTTCTCCATGATTCTCTTCTTCAGCCCATCAAATGCTGCATGCTTATCCATACCCCATGACAATCCTGCTTTCCCTGTCAGCCATGTCAACAGCTTTGCCAGCTCTGCATATCCCCAAATAAAATGCTGATAGAAGTTTGTGAAACCCAGGAAAGCTTGGACTTGTTTGACGCTCCCCGGTTCTGGCCATTCCATCACTCCCTTGATCTTGACAGGGTCCATCTGCATTGAGTTGTGTCCAAGAATCACACCCAAGTACTCAATTTCTGTGCGTTCAAACTTGCATTTTTTGGGCTTTAGGTACAGCTTGTGCTTTTGGAGCAGTTGGAGTACCCACTTTGTGATCTGCTGGTGTTCAACCAGGTTTTCTGTGAAGATCAGTATATCATCCAGGTAAACTACTACGTGGCTCTCATTGATCAGTTCTCACAGTATATCATTCATCATGTTCTGGAACGTTGTTGGCAAATCAGTGAGACCAAAGAACATGACTAAGGGTTTGTATATGTTGGAGTTGGGAATCCCAGCACCAAGGCAGAATAGCTCAGTGGTTAGAGCACTGGATGATCCAAGTCAGAGGTCCCAGGTTCAATTCCTGGTTCAGCCATTTTATCAACAGTATAGGCCCTGGTTTGTGCGGAATGCAGCCTTCTATTTATCGCCCTCCTTGATCCGGACATTGTTATACTCCCATCGAACGTCTAACTTTGTGAAGAACTTGGCGCCGCACAGCTTGTGGACTAATTTGGAGATAAGCGGCAGCGGGTACCGATTTCTGATGGTCATCTCATTCAGTTTCCAATAGTCTTGGACAGGACATAACAAGCCGTCTTTTTTCTTGACAAAGGACAACACTGATGCCATCAGTGACTTTGATGGCCTGATCTGTCTACTGGCTAGGTTTTCTTCCAAGAATTTGTCTAGTTTGACCTGTTGATGTGTAGATATTGTATGTGCTTGGTTTAGACAAAGGGTGTGACATAGTATATAGCATCAGATCAATGTGACCTACTGGGCTTTCTGCCTCCCATCTGTGCCCCTAGCCTTCTGCGGCTCCCATCTGTGTTTTCTGAGTTCAATAATAGGAACATTGTATTCCAGAAATGCTGCTGCATATGGACGTTTCAGCTGAGGAGGTCAGTTTTTTAATCACTGTGGATTATCAAGGAGCAAGTGTCACCTCAAGACACCACATAAGTCCGCTTCCAAAACCCTGCAGATTCTTTGCGTGAAATCCAAAACTTGGTGATTCTCTATTGCTAATAAATCCACCATCGATATCAGGGACATCACACGTTGTGATAGCTCCTGAACAGGGACAGTGCCAGACAGTAACTGTCTGGAGTGCGCTTTGACAGTGCTCGATGTCAAATTGAGCTCAGATAGAAGCTGCTCGAGCCTCTCAGGCCAAGTACAGGCCAAGGATATCAGCTGATTCCTAGTCAGCCAGCAAAAAGCTCTTAAGATAGGTTGGCCAGAATATACCTCAGTAGTTGATGACGCTGGTAAGTGGAGAATTTGAGGAGTCAAATTTTTAGTCGTTACTTTATCTCCAGAGGCCCAGGAAGATGGGTGGATGCTTCAGGAGAGAAGGAAGTCGAGAACTTGGAAGTGCATAAGCCACTGCTATGCACATGCTCATTCAGAGATGTACGTCTTTCTCAAAGGAGCTGTATTTGCAGTGAGTAGTAGCACTTGTCTGAACTCATCTGGTAGAAGCCCAGGAGTTGAGAGTGTGATATCATCCTGGTTTTTCAATACTGTAAAGAAAGGCTCAAATAAACCAAAATCTTGAGGAGGGAGGTCTTTCCAAGACCCATTGAGGAAGGTAGAGTACGTCCAAGGATTGGACACAAAGCAGGGGGTTTGCATTAATAGTTGTTGTATAAGTGAAACTCGAGGCACAGTTATGTGGTAATGGCTATGTAGCTAATTGGTGTACAGCATTTTAGCAAGTGTTTCTTCAAGTAATTAGGCATACTATCAAGTAAGCATTGTAAACAGCTAGTTTACATGACATTCTCATTTTTATTACATGGATTGTTCACTACATACTTGAGGATACAGAATATAAATTTTCAGCTTCAGCTGTTTCCATGGGCATACACAATGTCTGAGCACACCCATAACTTGTGTGTTTATACCTAGTATATAGAGACGCAAGGGGTCCAATGTTTCTGAAACACACTAGAATACGTTTTTACATTTGAAAAAATGTATTGCTACCCTCACTTCCAGTTTCTCTGGCCTTGCAAAGTCTGTGCTATCACTGCAAACCTGACAATTGAACGCACATATATTCATTTGAAGTTGTTGTACTGATTAGTCCTACTGATAGGTCTGGGGATATATAAAGTAGGGAGCTAGATACATTCTTACTTTCTTTCTTACTTCCCCCCTCTCATCCTTGCTCTCATTTGTCCCTCACACCATAGCTGCTTATTCCCTGTTGGTGAGTCAGCCTAGATCACCACTGGACCATTCTGACCATTCCTTAGACTTATATTTCTGACCCACACCGCTGTATGTACTATATCACCACTAGCCAGAAGTGCAACTTGCAAGCTCCTTGAGAGTCAGTAGGGTCTATTTGGGTTTAATACTAAGTACACCCTCAGCTCTGAGAAGGCTTAGGTGGAAGCATTTAATTGTTTGCTGTCTCTTTATTGACCACTATACTGTTGAAGCAGGAAATGCAGAGAGGACTGGAGTCAACAGTAAGAAGCTCTGCATTGCAAGACAAGACAAGAAAAGAATCTACAGACCTGGAGTCAACAGTAAGAAGCTGAAGAACTCCAGGGAGGGAGGAACTATCTATATGGATGAAGCATGTGACTGTACAGGAATCATGTGACTTGGAGCCATGTGACCAAAATGATGGAATGATGGGAACAGTGATGGAATCAGATATCATCAGTGATGTGATCAGATGGAATCAGATGATCATGTGACCCAATCACCAGAGAGTGATCAAGTCCAAAACCCATCCTCAACACGGATTGGCTTGACCCCTTGTGGCAAGTCGACCACATCCCATGTGCAGTTGCTGAGCAGAGAGTCAATCTCAGATGCAGCTGCAGCGCGCCATAGTGGACCATCCTCCCGCTTGGACGCTTCAAAGAACGACCGGGGGTTCCCAGAGGCTACAGCAGACAACACGGACTGCACTGCAGTAGCGTGAGCTGCTGCCAGCTTGGGATCTGAGGGGTCACCCTCGCGAGCCACAATGAGGGCAGAGGACGACTTCAGAAGCAGCTCATCGTCGCTGAGGTCTTCAGGGATCTCTTCAAAGATCTCTGCCATGGTGCGCCTGGGAGGAGCAGCAGCCGGAGCTGGAGCCCTCCTGGGTGGTGCAGGAACACGATGGATGCCAGCAGCAGCACGACGAGCTGCCACCCCAATTGGAGATTGGGGAGGAGGAGGCGAGGGTAGAGGGTGAAGCGGGGCATCCCCAGCTGGTGGTGGAGATGGAGGTGGTGGAGCTCGACACAAGAAGTCGATTTCATCATCACTGCTGGCTGCAGGAGAGGGAACTCGTGGTGCAGGGAGGGGACAAGCAGGCAGCTGTTGCTGCTCATCATCACCATCGTCATCAGGGACATACACCGGTGCCGGAGCACGAGGGGGATCCACCAGCATGGAGGAGGGGGGTGCCACAGGACAGCTCCTCATCGCTTGAGGGGTGCTGCCTGGGAAGTAGCGCTCATCAAACACTGCTCTCTCAGCGATAACGAGTTTCCGAGTCTCTGGGTTGAAGAACAACTATCCCTTGTACCCTGCAGGATAGCCTACAAAGATACACTTCTGGACATGATGCCCAGAAGGACCTCTCTTGTCTCTTTGCACATGCACATAGGCAAGACATCCCCAAACACGCAGATGAGACACATCAGGCTTTGCCTTGAACCACAGCTCATGGGGAGTCCTGGTAGGGTCTCGAGCTGTGGGGTGCATGTTGCACACATGGATGTATGCAGACACCGCCAGTGCCCTGAATGCAGGGGGCAGGTTGGCTTCGTGTAACATGGCAGTGGAGTGCTCATCAACGGTGCGGTTAGACCGCTCTGCTGTCCCATTCTGCTGAGGCCGCGCCCTGACTGAATGGCGGTGCACAATGCCACACTTGTCCAGATGTGATCTGAACTCATTAGACATGTACTCTCCCCCTTTATCGTCCTGGAATGCCTTGATCTTGAGCCCCCAGTGAGTCTCAGCATACGCTTGAAACATCTTAAGGGCTGCAAATGTCTCACTCTTGTTCTTCATGTGGTATGCTACCTTGAAGCCAGTGTGATCATCAACAAAAGTCACCCTGTGCTTCCAGCCCTCTCGGGTGGGCACAGAGTAGCTCTTTAGATCAGAGTGAATGAGATCAAGAGGCGCTCCAGAACGATGACCAGTTGAGGGAAACAGGCCAGCATTCAGCTTGCCAAAGAGGCATGGCTCACAGATGGGGTCTGGCTTCCTAGCAGAGGCAAGCCTCACACCAGTAACCAGCTCTTTATCCATGACTAGCTTGGTATCACTGTGGTGTCCAAGCCGCCTGTGCATCAGGCTGAGGTCAATGGGAAGAGTCCCAGCTGTAGAGACCAGTGCTGAACCAGCAGAAGGGAAACCAGTCTCTCTCACAAATGCCTGACCCTGCTCTGAGATATCTGCCACAAAGTACACTTCACCATTGCGCTTGAACAGGATGTAGTTCTCCTTCATGAGCACAGTGTAGTCATGGTGAACTGACAGGTATGTAGTGGAGATCAGATTGTGTGACAGAGCAGGGACATAGAGCACATTGGAGAGGATCACAGACCGGCTCCTGGCATGTCCATGGATTAGTGGCCTAAGCACTATCTCCCCCACAAGCTCTGAATAGACCACAAGTCCATTAGCCACTCTGATGGGTGCCCTATGAGGACGAGTGTTCTGTAGCAGGTGCACACAATGGGTCATGTGTGATGTAGCACCAGAATCTGCAATCCACCTCAACTCAGGGTCTGCAGTGGAGTGGGAGAGAAGGCTTGTATGAGTGGCCACTTCAGACTTGACTGCACCCTTTCTAGGCCTAGGCCTAGGCCTAGGCTCAGGCTCAAGCTCTGGCTCAGGCTCAGAAGCATTGTCCTCTAGGAGAGACAGAAACTCTGGGCATTTTAGGAGTGTGTGGCCATGTTGATAACAGGCATAACACAATGGCTGAGCAGAAGCAGGTGCAGCTGCCAGGGCAGCAGAAGGAGCAAAGACTGATGGATGAGAGTGGGAATTTGATGCCATGCTGTGCTCAAAAATGCGCCCAGAATGATGTAGGAGATGTATGTATATACACTAACTGGACAAAATGATTGACCGATCAAAAAATTGATCGGAATTGGGCCGTTGTGCCTCACTCCGGACATATCTCCTGAAGCAGTATTGGAATCAAATATAGCCCTAGACGTATAGAATAACCCTGGAAAATATCTATGTAGTCTGGGTATTATTCACAGGTGTATTGCGTACTGAATGTGTGATGCATCAGATCAGGAGCCAAACACACTGCCAAAACAAACAGTAACGCATCGTTTTTCTCGCTGTCCTCAAGATATCTGATAGTTTCCTCTTGCCGCTACCTTGCACCGTCAATTTGCTATCCCCATGGCCCCTAACTTGAGTCCGACCAAGAAGGCGAAGATTGTAGAGTGGACACGGGATGGGAGGTCACACAAATGGATCCGTGAGCACTTGACTGGCCGCCATGATATTTCGGACTCCACCATCTACCGGATACAGCGGGATTACAGCGAGAAGGAGAACTATTATGATGTAGGACACTCCCCAGGGCGACCCCGGAAACTACAGGCCCGAGATATGCGAAAGGCAGTCCGTTCCCTTGGCAATCAGACCGTGACCAATGCGACAGAACTCAAGGACGCTTTCTTCCCGGATGTCAGCGTGAAGACCATCAAACGCAACCTGCGCATAGCAGGCCTCGAGGCCCATATTCGTCGCCCCATCCCGTTCATCTCAGCACTGAATTTGAAGCTTCGGAAAGAGTGGGGAGAGTCACATGTGCATTGGCAGGTGGAGGATTGGAAGCGTGTGCTGTTCTCAGATGAGTCGATATTCCGTCTTTTCGGGTCCGATGGGATAGAGTGGTGTTGGAGGAAGCCGAGTGAACGCTTGGACCCCCGGTTCACGAAGAAGCGGGTGAAGCATGGGGGAGGGAAGATCACGGTATGGGGCATGATCACACCACACGGATTGGGTCGACTCGTACGCATCGACGGAAACCTCAACAAGGAGTTGTACCGTGAAATACTCAAGGACGACCTCTTGGGTACCCTTGACGACCTCGACCTTGACCCGCGCGACTACATCTTCCAACAGGATAACGATCCTAAACACACGGCGCGGATTGTTACCACCTGGTTTGCCGAGAATCACATTGCTGTTCTCCCATGGCCGGCTTCCAGCCCCGACATGAATATCATCGAGCATGTGTGGAGTCACCTCGACAAGAAGGTTCGGAAGCGGAAGCCCCTACCTTCCAATGTCGAGCAGCTATGGACCGCTTTGCAGGAGGAGTGGGCACACATTGATGAGGGGTATATTGAGAGTCTGTATGACTCTATGCCCAGACGGATTCGGGCACTCATCGCAGCAAAGGGAGGTAACACAAGCTACTAGTTTGTTTTGTATTTCTCCCAGTAGTCTTCGCACTACGAGCCATATTCTATGTTGCACAAGTCTACTGGGGATGCCAAAAAAGGCAATTTTTGTATTCATTGAGCAAAATCTTGAGATCACTAGCAATGAGGGCCTAGATACTTCACATGCACAAACTAGTCCTTCTGACACGCATTCGGCTCCCCAAGACCCTGGAGCCAAACGCGCTTCGTGAGGCACAACAGCCCAATTCCGATCAATTTTTTGATCGGTCAATCATTTTGTCCAGTTAGTGTAGCTACAGCCTCTCAGGAGTGTGTTGATCTCAGGCACCTAGCTGTCTCAACCTCAGGATCACAGGAATGACTACCTGGTGTTTCCTGATGGACCAAAGAGCACACCCACTTAAGGATAGAGTCCCAACTACTAGTGCCTGAACCACAGACACTATAAGAGCAGAAAAAAAAACAGAACAGAGGGGAGCAGAGATGTCAACTGCAGTAGCAGGACTGGGGCAAGCAGGCAGCAGCAGGCAGAGAAAATCAGAGAATGGAAAAAACTCGAAAATCTCAGAATAGATGACTCAGAGGCACTCTAGAGGCTGGGGCCCATAACCTGTTGAAGCAGGAAATGCAGAGAGGACTGGAGTCAACAGTAAGAAGCTCTGCATTGCAAGAGAAAACAAGAAAAGAATCTACAGACCTGGAGTCAACAGTAAGAAGCTGAAGAACTCCAGGGAGGGAGGAACTATCTATGTGGATGGAGCATGTGACTGTATAGGAATCATGTGATCAGAAGTCATGTGACCAAAATGATGGAATGATGGGAACAGTGATGGAATCAGATATCATCAGTGATAGGATCAGATGGAATCAGATGATCATGTGACCCAATCACCAGAGAGTGATCAAGTCCAAAACCCATCACCAACATGTTGGAGTTGGGAATCCCAGCACCAAGGCAGAATAGCTCAGTGGTTAGAGCACTGGACGATCCAAGTCAGAGGTCCCAGGTTCAATTCCTGGTTCAGCCATTTTATCAACATTTCCTTGGTGGGATCATGGGGGATAGAGTGCAGCTCTGCCCTAGCAGCCATCCTGGTGCTCATGCTCAATTTCTCGAAATGGGCCTTGAGGGCAGCCCAGGCAGCAGTGGCAGACTCGAAATCATCGATGAGAGGCTGGTACTGCTCCTCTATCTTGGTGTAGAGGTAGGGGAGGAGCATCCTGTCCAGGGTAACTTGGTCAGACTCATCTGCTTTTGGCCCTTTCCCCATAACCCAAAGTGTGTCCACTCCCAGCAAAAACACCTTGAATCCCTTCCCAAACTTGGCCCAGTTGTCCTTCCCCAGCATAGGAACAGTGGTGAGAACGATGGTGAGGGCTGAGGTGATGGTAGGCGCCATGGTGGTGCAGGGAGAAGCGGTAGGAGCGTCGGGGAAAACCGGAACAGAGGGGGGAAGCAAAAAGAGCGAAAAAAGAGCGAAAAATGCGCAGAGGGAGCAAGGAAGAGGGTAGATGGATAGGTCAGGGCGGGGCCAATAACCTGTTGAACTCAGAAAACACAGATGGGAGCCGCAGGAGGCTAGGGGCACAGATGGGAGGCGAAAAGCCCAGTCTGTCACATTGATCTAGGGCTATGTACTGATGGTCACATAGCTAAGTAACACTCTTTTGTCTGAACCAAGCAAGACATCCTTTCCACACTTCAACAGCAAGATCATCACCAACAGGGACTCACGATACATCAAGGGCTTCATGAAGGAGATGAATTGGATGTTGGGCATGGAAATGAATCCAGGGACCGCATATCACCTGTTCACTGATGGGCAGATAGAGCGCATAAATCAGGAGATCAAGCACTATCTCTGTATCTATGTCAATTACCATCAGATGGATTAGTCAGAGTGGCTGGGAATGGCCAAGTTTGCGTATAATGACAAAATGAACACGTCTACTAAAATATTGCCGTTCTATGCAAATCACGGATATCACCTATGGAAGGGAGTAGAGCAGTGGATAGAATCAAGAAACAAATCAGCAGAAGAGTTTATAAAAAGAATCAAAGGAATACAAGATGAAGCAAAAGCAGCCCTAGAAAAAGCAAAAGAAAAAATGAAAAAATACTATGATAAACAAAGAAAAGAAGTTCTGGAGTTGAAGGTCAGGATGAAGGTGTACATAGAAGGGGAAAATATCAAGACGGATAGACCATCAAAGAAGATGAGCAACAAGAGATTAGGACCATACAAGATATCGGAGAAGGTCGGAGCAGCCACATGGAAACTGGGTTTGCTAGACACGGACCAAAGACACCCGGTGTTCAACCAGTCACTGTTGACACCCTATCACAAACCACCACCCCATCGCCAAGAGAAGAGACCCGTAGCCAAGATGATCGGAGGAGCAGAGGAATGGGAAGTTGAAGAGATTGTGAAAGAACAGAAGGTTGGCCAAGGGAAACAATACTTGGTCAAATGGAAGGAATGGCTGCATAGCAAGAACACCTGGGAACCATCACATCACCTTATTCACGCGAAGAGAGTCCTGAAGGCTTGGCAGAGGAAACAATCTGACCCAGACACACGCATTTGCCTCCTGCCAACGCTCAAAGCCGGACACTGGGACTATCTCATCCATTGCTACAAACCCAAAGACAAGCACCTCCCATACCCCCAACAGCAACTGTTCGACCCTTACAAAAATGTCTTCACACCCATTGGCCCAGTTGATGAGCACATCGACCCTAGAGAGGGGGTAATGTCATAGTTTGACCCTTTTTCATCTTATCTTCAATGATCTTATCTTATCTTGGCATGAGTTATCTTATCACGGATCCGTTGAAGCAGGAAATGCAGAGAGGACTGGAGTCAACAGTAAGAAGCTCTGCATTGCAAGAGAAAACAAGAAAAGAATCTACAGACCTGGAGTCAACAGTAAGAAGCTGAAGAACTCCAGAGAGGCAAGAACTATCTATGTGGATGGAGCATGTGACTGTATAGGAATCATGTGACTTGGAGTCATGTAACCAGAATGATGGAATGATGAGAACAGTGATGGAATCAGATATCATCAGTGATGTGATCAGTGATAGGATCAGATGGAATCAGTGATCATGTGACCCAATCACCAGAGAGTGATCAAGTCCAAAACCCATCCTCAACACTCCCCCGGGATGAGATCAGTCTCTCAGCCTCTCCCCCGCAATCTCATCAGTGTGCGCAACCTTGCCACCTGAGGCCGAGGCAGCGCCTTGGTCAGGATGTCAGCCAGCTGGTCCTGCGTCGGCACATACTTCACATCAATGAACCCTCTGGCCACTTCATCTCTAAGCCAGTAGTGTGCCAGGTCCAGATGCTTCATACGCCCATGGTATTCAGGATTCTTGGACACAGATATGGCAGACTGGTTGTCCATCATCAAGGGAGAAGCCCCAGACACACCATGCTCCAGCTCATGCAGCAGATTCCGCATCCACTTGATCTCCTTCCCAGCATCCACACCAGCCACATACTCTGCCTCAGTGGTGGACAGAGAGATGGTGGACTGCAGCTTGCTCCTCCAGCTCACTGGTCCACCAGCCATCATAATGACATACCCCCCAGTGCTTTTCATGGAGTCCTTGTCTCCAGCATGATCAGCATCAGTGAAGGTGGTGAAGAGGTTGTCAGGATGGATGTGGGTGGCTGGGTCATAGAGGGTGGGAGAGGATTTGGAGTAGGTGATGCGGAAGTCAAGGGTGCCCTGGATGTATCGCAGCAGGTGCTTGACTGCCTTCCAGTGCTCTTCACCAGGATTACTATTGAAGCGCGCTAGCACCCCCACAGCATAGGAGATGTCAGGGCGAGTCTGACAGGCCAGGTACATCAGAGAGCCAACAGCAGACAGATAGTTGCCCTTGAACTGCTTGGACTCCTCCTCAGTCTTGGCTCCCATCTCCTTGGTTAGAGACAGACCAGGCAGCATGGGGGTGTCCACAGGCTTGCAGTCAGCCATGCCATACTGCTCCAGGAGGTTCACAGCATACTGGCGCTGGGAGATGCTGATGTCTCCAGTGTGCTCATCACGCTCTATCTTGATCCCCAGAAGCCACTCTGTGGGACCCAGATCCCGCACCTTGAAGGCCGTGCCAAGCTGGGCAATGACCTTGTCAATGTCAGCATCATGCTTTGCAGCAATGGTGCCATCATCAACATAGATGGGCAGGATGACGCGGACCACACCATCAGAGTAGATGTGGCAGGAGCTGTCTGACTTGATGCACTTGAACCCCATGGCAGTCAGCTTGGCAACCAACTTGATGCGCCACTGGCGGCCAGCCTGCTTCAGTCCATAGATGGACCGGTTCAGCTTCAGCACCTGGCCCTTCTCTCCCTGGGGGAACCCTTCTGGCTGAGTCCTGTAGACATTCTCATCCAGGTCCCCATTGAGGTAGGCAGAAGAGAAGTCGATGGAGCGCAACTTGAGGTTGTTCTGGGCAGCCAGAGCAAGGATAACGCGCAGAGTAGCAGGTCTAAAGGTGGGTGCAAACACCTCGTGGTAGTCAATGCCATAGCGCTGGCCACGACCATCTGCCACGAGTCTGGCTTTGTAGCATTCCACAGTGCCATCAGACTTGTGTTTGATCACAAACACCCATTGAGAGCGGATTGGCTTGACCCCTTGTGGCAAGTCGACCACATCCCATGTGCAGTTGCTGAGCAGAGAGTCAGTCTCAGATGCAGCTGCAGCGCGCCATAGTGGACCATCCTCCCGCTTGGACGCTTCAAAGAACGACCTGGGGTTCCCAGAGGCTACAGCAGACAACACGGACTGCACTGCAGTAGCGTGAGCTGCTGCCAGCTTGGGATCTGAGGGGTCACCCTCGCGAGCCACAATGAGGGCAGAGGACGACTTCAGAAGCAGCTCATCGTCGCTGAGGTCTTCAGGGATCTCTTCAAAGATCTCTGCCATGGTGCGCCTGGGAGGAGCAGCAGCCGGAGCTGGAGCCCTCCTGGGTGGTGCAGGAACACGATGGATGCCAGCAGCAGCACGACGAGCTGCCACCCCAATTGGAGATTGGGGAGGAGGAGGCGAGGGTAGAGGGTGAAGCGGGGCATCCCCAGCTGGTGGTGGAGATGGAGGTGGTGGAGCTCGACACAAGAAGTCGATTTCATCATCACTGCTGGCTGCAGGAGAGGGAACTCGTGGTGCAGGGAGGGGACAAGCAGGCAGCTGTTGCTGCTCATCATCACCATCGTCATCAGGGACATACACCGGTGCCGGAGCACGAGGGGGATCCACCAGCATGGAGGAGGGGGGTGCCACAGGACAGCTCCTCATCGCTTGAGGGGTGCTGCCTGGGAAGTAGCGCTCATCAAACACTGCTCTCTCAGCGATAACGAGTTTCCGAGTCTCTGGGTTGAAGAACAACTATCCCTTGTACCCTGCAGGATAGCCTACAAAGATACACTTCTGGACATGATGCCCAGAAGGACCTCTCTTGTCTCTTTGCACATGCACATAGGCAAGACATCCCCAAACACGCAGATGAGACACATCAGGCTTTGCCTTGAACCACAGCTCATGGGGAGTCCTGGTAGGGTCTCGAGCTGTGGGGTGCATGTTGCACACATGGATGTATGCAGACACCGCCAGTGCCCTGAATGCAGGGGGCAGGTTGGCTTCGTGTAACATGGCAGTGGAGTGCTCATCAACGGTGCGGTTAGACCGCTCTGCTGTCCCATTCTGCTGAGGCCGCGCCCTGACTGAATGGCGGTGCACAATGCCACACTTGTCCAGATGTGATCTGAACTCATTAGACATGTACTCTCCCCCTTTATCGTCCTGGAATGCCTTGATCTTGAGCCCCCAGTGAGTCTCAGCATACGCTTGAAACATCTTAAGGGCTGCAAATGTCTCACTCTTGTTCTTCATGTGGTATGCTACCTTGAAGCCAGTGTGATCATCAACAAAAGTCACCCTGTGCTTCCAGCCCTCTCGGGTGGGCACAGAGTAGCTCTTTAGATCAGAGTGAATGAGATCAAGAGGCGCTCCAGAACGATGACCAGTTGAGGGAAACAGGCCAGCATTCAGCTTGCCAAAGAGGCATGGCTCACAGATGGGGTCTGGCTTCCTAGCAGAGGCAAGCCTCACACCAGTAACCAGCTCTTTATCCATGACTAGCTTGGTATCACTGTGGTGTCCAAGCCGCCTGTGCATCAGGCTGAGGTCAATGGGAAGAGTCCCAGCTGTAGAGACCAGTGCTGAACCAGCAGAAGGGAAACCAGTCTCTCTCACAAATGCCTGACCCTGCTCTGAGATATCTGCCACAAAGTACACTTCACCATTGCGCTTGAACAGGATGTAGTTCTCCTTCATGAGCACAGTGTAGTCATGGTGAACTGACAGGTATGTAGTGGAGATCAGATTGTGTGACAGAGCAGGGACATAGAGCACATTGGAGAGGATCACAGACCGGCTCCTGGCATGTCCATGGATTAGTGGCCTAAGCACTATCTCCCCCACAAGCTCTGAATAGACCACAAGTCCATTAGCCACTCTGATGGGTGCCCTATGAGGACGAGTGTTCTGTAGCAGGTGCACACAATGGGTCATGTGTGATGTAGCACCAGAATCTGCAATCCACCTCAACTCAGGGTCTGCAGTGGAGTGGGAGAGAAGGCTTGTATGAGTGGCCACTTCAGACTTGACTGCACCCTTTCTAGGCCTAGGCCTAGGCCTAGGCTCAGGCTCAAGCTCTGGCTCAGGCTCAGAAGCATTGTCCTCTAGGAGAGACAGAAACTCTGGGCATTTTAGGAGTGTGTGGCCATGTTGATAACAGGCATAACACAATGGCTGAGCAGAAGCAGGTGCAGCTGCCAGGGCAGCAGAAGGAGCAAAGACTGATGGATGAGAGTGGGAATTTGATGCCATGCTGTGCTCAAAAATGCGCCCAGAATGATGTAGGGGGTGTATCTATGTAGCTACAGGCTCTCAGGAGTGTGTTGATCTCAGGCACCTAGCTGTCTCAACCTCAGGATCACAGGAATGACTACCTGGTGTTTCCTGATGGACCAAAGAGCACACCCACTTAAGGATAGAGTCCCAACTACTAGTGCCTGAACCACAGACACTATAAGAGCAGAAAAAAACAGAACAGAGGGGAGCAGAGATGTCAACTGCAGTAGCAGGACTGGGGCAAGCAGGCAGCAGCAGGCAGAGAAAATCAGAGAATGGAAAAAACTCGAAAATCTCAGAATAGATGACTCAGAGGCACTCTAGAGGCAGGGGCCCATAACCTGTTGAAGCAGGAAATGCAGAGAGGACTGGAGTCAACAGTAAGAAGCTCTGCATTGCAAGACAAGACAAGAAAAGAATCTACAGACCTGGAGTCAACAGTAAGAAGCTGAAGAACTCCAGAGAGGCAAGAACTATCTATGTGGATAGAGCATGTGACTGTATAGGAATCATGTGACTTGGAGTCATGTAACCAGAATGATGGAATGATGGGAACAGTGATGGAATCAGATATCATCAGTGATGTGATCAGTGATAGGATCAGATGGAATCAGTGATCATGTGACCCAATCACCAGAGAGTGATCAAGTCCAAAACCCATCACCAACAGGATCACGGCATCTGACGGTCCAGGCTAGGGGTCCAGGGGATCATCTTTATCAATTCAAGGCTGCGTGACATATGCTCCAGAAGGTTCTACAGTTTGCAAAATTCTGCCCTTGGGTTTCCTTTTTTGGAAGCACTATATAAGGCAGTCACCAGCCCACAGCATGTGATGGGCACCGACAGTTCACCAAAAATCATTATTTATTGAATAAACAGAGTAAAAATACATGAAATAAGATCCAAGTGTTAGAAACAAACTTAGAATTGAAATAACAAGTTTTTTCGAGTTCAGTGACAGGTAGCATTTGCATCTAGAGGTTCATACAGCACTGTAGCTAGAAGAGACAAAGAAAATTGTACAGTTACTAATGTAAATGTACAGCAGAGGGCCAGAGGTGCTGTGTAGCACAGGAGGAGGGAGAGTAGACGACGTGCAAAGGGCAGGAGATGAGGGAGTAGTGGAAGAAAAAGGGGAGGGAGAGCATCTGAAGTGGCGCTGTGAGCAAGCAGTTACGGCGTCACTTCCGATGCCCTTCCTCTATCAGATACAGGTGGCGGGGCAGAAGCCCAATGGCGTGTAAGGCCGTAAGTACGCGCGGGTCACGTAGCACAACCGACTGCAGGCGGGTTATTGCTGGGTTGTCGTGTTGAACGGGAGGAGGGCGATAGCCAAGGGAGAAAGGTGGGAGGTCACGAGATTGTCAGCAAACTTGTTTGCTAGACAAATACACCAATAATTAATATAAATTAGGATCCGGAGCCTCCGTGTGCATGTGCCGGAGGCTTCCCAAAAAGGCAGCTTAGTCAGAAAAGTCAAGTCCAGAACTTCAAAAACTAGGTTCTACTACAACCCATGACCAACGCTCTATGCAGTACATAGCCCTATAACTCATTAGTTGTAGATATGACTCAGACTGTGACAATCAATAAGAAATAATGTCGAAAAGAGAAGTCAATTCGAAGACTGGAGAATACAACCAAGTAGCTACAGTATTTATACCCAAATCCAGTCTGAGTCATATCTACAACTAATGAGTCATAAGGCTATGTACCGCATGGAGCACTGGTCATGGGTTGTAGTAGAACCTTCCAGAGCATATGTTGCGCAGCCTCGAATCGATAAAGATAATCCCTGGAACCCCTAGTCTGGACCATCTGATGCCGTGATCTGTAATAAGATAATCCGTGCCGAGATAAGATAAGATAGTCGATGATAAGATGAAAAAGGGCTGAATTATGACATTACCCCCTCTCTAGGGTCAATGTCTTCATTGACTAGGCCAATGGGCGTGAAGACGTTCTTGTAAGGGTCGAAGAGTTGTCACTGGGGATATGGAAGGTGCTCATCTTTGGGTTTGTAGCAATCTGTGAAGATCAATATATCATCAAGATAAACTACCATGTGACCCTTGTTGATCAGTTCTCGGAGTATGTTGTTCATCATGTTTTGAAAGGTTGCCGGGGAATTTGTGAGACCAAAGAACATGACCAAGGGCTCATACAGTCCGCGGTTCGTGCGGAACGCAGCCTTCTACTCATTGCCCTCTTTGATTCGTACGTTGTTGTATCCCCACCGGATGTCAAGCTTTGTGAAGAACTTGGCGCCGCATAGGTTGTGGACCAGCTCAGAGATCAGCGGCAGCGGGTATCAATTCCGGATTGTCATTTCATTCAGCTTCCGATAATCTTGTATGGGGCGTAGCAAGCCATCCTTCTTCTTGACAAAGAAGAATGCTGATGCCATGGGTGATTTTGATGGTCTAATTTGTCCACTGGCTAGGTTCTCTTGTAAGAACTCATTGAGTTTGACCTGTTCGTTTTGTGATAATGGGTACACCTTGCAGTCCACTGCTTTGGAACCGAGTTTGAGCTTGATTGCATGATCCTATGCCCGTCAGTTTGGTAGCGAGTCGAACGATTCCTTGGCAAATACTTTGACAAATTCCCGGTATTGATCCGGAATCTTTCCCTTGGTCATTCTCTCCTTCTCCTTTTCCGCTTCTTCTGCAAATTTCTGTGCCAGCGTTTCCTTCAGCCGTAGATCCACTTCCTTCCCAAAGTCGATCAACAGGATCAATTCCCCCTCTTCCAGATCTGGCATGTCTGTGTCCAAGTCGATTGCATCCATGTCAATCATTGCTTGGTGCTCCTTGTGACCCCTCATGTGACACCGCTCTGGGCATTGACTGAATCTCATTGTCTGCTCCTGCCAATCCACCTCAGGGTTGTGTTCTGTCAACCAATCAAGACCGATGAAGATCCAAGCTTTTCCCAAACACGTCAGAAGGAACGTGCATGTCTCCACATGAGGGCTGATTCTCATCCTTAAGTCAACGTAATGCGTGATCCGGCCACTGATGTTCTCGGTGTTGTCGGCATTACGAGCCACGATGGGTTGTGGAAGCTCTTGGATATCCAGCTTCTCTGCCCGCGCGTAGTCGGTATCGATACAGCAGGTACTGCAGCCACTGTCGAGTAGCGCCTTGACACCGCGCGTCCTCCCTGAGTCCAGGCCCGTGATCTGGACATATACGTCTATCGAATGCCTCTTCTTTTTGGCCTGGTAGTTGCGCAATTCCTGCGCCAGTCTGCTGGGCTGGGGGCCCTTCTGTTTCTCGGCTGCCAATTTCCTCTGGACGGCATCTGGCACCCTTGTGCGTTTGGGTGCTTCTGGAACCTTGATTTTGGCAGATTCTTTAGGCGCTTCCTCCTTTTTCACGGATTGAGCCTCTGGAGCAATGCTCTCCTTTTCGGTCTTTGTTGACGTGGTTTCTTCTCCACAAGCCATAAATACGTAGGAGTCCAAAAATAATTTGTCCATAGCTGCTATCTTCTGATCCTTTTTATCTTGTAAATATTTTCTATTTAGAGCTATTTTTTCTTTACGTTCTTTTTCCATCTTGGCAACAAGAAACTTGTGAATATTTGTACATAGTGAGTTGGGGAGCGTGTATGTATGGTGAGGAATATTGTTCATATCTTTAATCGAAACAAGTACAGACAATCGTCCATAGTCCGGACGCTCCACCTCCTTGGCTAGAGGAGTGGAGCACTTCAAAAACCCTTTTCGCACAGCTTCTCGGTGATCTCCTTGAGGAACTCGTTGTCCTTGTCCCTGTTCTTGATCTCTTCAAGCATTGTGGCCTGGTTGAAGAACGTGCGCTTCTTTCTTGGCTCCGGACAGTTCTGCGCAATGTGTCCAGGCTGCTGACAGTTGTAGCAGATGATATTGCGGCTGCAGGCATGGGTGCAATCAATTTCCATCGGGACCGGTTCGTTGGCAGCCGGCCGGGTCAGAGCGGGTGTGGGCGCCGCTAGTGCCACCTGAGGGCAGAATTGGGGGGGAGGCCGTGGAGTCAAGTGCGCATAGGATGCCTTGTGCAGCTGGTCGCGCAAGGCATTGGCCTCGATATTGACACACCAGTTCTTGAAGGCGCTGTATGCCTTGGGCAGGGGAACGCCGGTGTTGTAGAGGCGGCTCGCAATCTTGCTACTGAGCCCGCGCTCAAGAAACTCAATGAGGATATTGTCTTGATCCCCCTTCTTGTATTCGCCCTGGTCATTGGTGGTGGTGACCACGTTGTATCCAGCGTCTACAGCCAGCATTTCGAAGTCGGAGATGTAGTCCGCAAAGGACCGTCTGCCCTGACAAAGGGCCATGAGTTGGGCAGCAGCAACTTGTTCTGTGTTAGAATCCCCAAAGGCCCTCTGGAGCTCCTCCAAGAAGGTTGTTGCGGTGACTCCCGCCTTCATTCCTTGGAAGCCCTCGAAATTGTGCTGCTTTCAGTTCATCACCCATCTCGAGGCGGCGCAGCTTGTGCCGGTCTCATTACGGAGGTAGAAAAGGACAAAGAGGATTTTTGTCTCGTCCAGCAAGAATTCCGATTGATAGGCACTCATGTAAGTGGTGCACGTATCCACAAAGCCCAGGTACTTGGATTTGTTGCCATCAAAGTAGGGGGGATTGGTGGCGAGGGTGAGGCGGTGATGTCCTGACATGGTAGGAGCAGGCGTGGTAGGTGGAGGTGGTTGTTTGGAGGGTAACTTGTCAAGGTCCGGGATCTCGTCTTCAGGCGGCGGGAGGGCGAGGTAGGGATTAGAGGTCCCGGGTTGGTTTTGGTGCGCCAGATCGGGCGACGATGGTACAATGGGGGAAGGGGACGGACTCCCAGACGATGATGGGAATCGGAATGAAATGATGAATTCGTGTGCTGTACAAGCACTCGAGGAAAGGTTCTTTTGCTAGCAAAAAGATCCCGGGCCTAGCTCTTCACATGCCCAATGATCCTGAGGTGCGTTTTCCCAAAGGTCTCCACAGCACTCCTTGTAGCTACCGTAAGGCTTGGGTCGGTCTCAACGTTACCCAGCCTGGTGCTGTTTGCTTGATATGAACCATTCACTGCGATTGCAGGGAACGACTAGATGATTCGGTAACAAGGTGAGTTGGTTGATAAGGGTTAAGAGGATATAGCGGGTGTAGCGGTGAGGGATGCAGTGGTAAGAGGTATGAGGTAGGAGGGTAGGAGGGTAGGAGGGGAGTCTTCAAATTATGTGACAATCAACAAGAAATAATGTCGAAAAGAGAATGTTGAGGATGGATTTTGGACTTGATCACATGATCATCTGATTCCATCTGATCTTATCACTAATCACATCACTGATGATATCTGATTCCATCACTGTTCCCATTATTCCATCATTCTGGTTACATGACTCCAAGTCACATGATTTCTGTACAGTCACATGCTCCATCCACATAGATAGTTCCTCCCTCCCTGGAGTTCCTCAGCTTCTTACTGTTGACTCCAGGTCTGTAGATTCTTTTCTTGTCTTGCAATGCAGAGCTTCTTACTGTTGACTCCAGTCCTCTCTGCATTTCCTGCTTCAACAGAGAAGTCAATTCGAAGACTAGAGAATACAACCAAGTAGCTACAGTATTTATACCCAAATCCAGTCTGAGTCATATCTACAACTAATGAGTCATAAGGCTATGTACTGCATGGAGCACTGGTCATGGGTTGTAGTAGAACCTTCCAGAGCATATGTCGCACAGCCTCGAATCGATAAAGATAATCCCTGGAACCCCTAGTCCGGACCGTCTGATGCTGTGATCCGTGATAAGATAATCCGTGCCGAGATATGATAAGATGAAAAAGGGCTGAATTATGACACAGACTGGATTTGGGTATAAATACTGTAGCTACTTGGTTGTATTCTCCAGTCTTCAAATTCACTTCTCTTTTCGACATTATCTCTTGTTGATTGTCACAAGGTAGTGCACAAATGCAGAACACGGCCTTGCAGTTCAAATTGTCTGATGGCTTGGATAATGGTGCCCTCCGTTGCAGCTCAATCTCTGGCTCATCCAAGCTCTCACCCTTATTGTTATGCCCAGGCTCATTGTCAATCTTGAGGTCCTGCAAGTTGTCATTGCATTTCTCAAAGTCTGATACATCCGAGTCGCACACAAGGAGGGGAGCGGGTGCAGGAGTTGGCAATGGTATAGAGACCAACTGGGACAATGCAGGGACAGCAGTGCTTGGCTTTGGCACAAAGAATTGGCACATAAGTTGTGCTGAAGGTCTGATGTGTCACAGTCAGTAACAATTAGGCGCATTGAATTCATGCACCCTGCTCAAGTGACTGCATCTTCCCTCTCCTTAGCTCACACTCTGCAGAGCTTCTCATTCTTCCAACTCTTCAACCACCCATTGTTGCCCAGAGCTCAATTCAATTCTGCCTTCTTCCAATCATTCATGGCCATTAATTCTGCCTTCTCCCCAAGAACCCAATGCACTCCTTCCCTTGCCTTTTTCTCTGCTTCTTGAGGAACCACAGCATTGAGGGACTCATGAGGTAAGAGCTCGCAGATGCTGTTGTCTTCATCATTGCCCCCAGCCTCTCCAGGATCCCCTGCGGCCTCCAGCTCTGCCTCAGGAGTATCCTCCAGTTCAATGGACTCCAGGATGTGGTCAGCGTCAAGTAGATTTGTGTTGTTGACAGTCCCATCCCACACACATTCACCGCACTCAGTTGCAGCAGCCAATTCCTCCAGGTAGGTGTCATGCTGTTGCTTGAGCTCTTCCTCATGCAGGGCAGTCTTGGCCTGTCTCGCAAGCGCGGTCTTCTGGATCTGAGTCTTTGTAGCCCATTTTTTTGTCAGCATCGCAGTGCCACGGGAGTAGCAGAATTGACAGCGAGTGGCAAAAGTGGCAGTGGCAGTGTAGATTAGGGTTAGGTTTACAATGTTTTGACCCAATACTGGCCCTGTACAAAACTAGCAATGACTAATCTGTGTGCACCATAGCTGCCTGCAGCTCCCATCTGAGTTTTCTGTGTTCAACAGTATCACCAAGGTAAACCTATTGTAAGCCCACCCACTGGACTTACACATTATGTCACATCATGCTATCATATGTTACAGCTTAGCAGCAACATTCTTGCTACATACTTGACTTAATCTCGACTTCTGTACTGCATATATGTATCCCCCACACAAAGGAATCTCTGCTAGCTCTGCTCCCCTCTGCTTCCTTCATTTTTTCTTAGTGTTCTTGGCATATAGGTATGCCAGGCTTCCACCTATCCACATTTGTAACATATGGCAGAAGTAAAAAAAAAATTGGTGTTTTTTTATCAAAGAATTCAACAATGAAAATGCACTATTTGCTATTCTCCCTGTAAGAGCTGCCAGACAGGCTTGAGGGTGCACACAAATCTTTCTCTATGATCACACTACTTGATACAGAAAGTCTAAAGGGTTATGAATAGAGTGATCCAGTTATCATTACTACTTGAGGGGGGAAAGGATAGTATAAACTAGAACAAGGTGCGAGTAGATGATACAGTTGACTGGACACAAATTGAGGGCATGCAAAATGTGAATGGATGTGTTTTGTCTAATCATGCTGCCTCCTTCAGATGGCTATGATATATATGCTGCATGCGTAATGAGAGCCGAAGAAAACGGATAAGGGATATAAAGGTAGGGAGGGATGCATCTACTGAGTGGCCAGTTTAACCATCTGGAATTATCTCAGTAGGTGTTTGAGAAAGCAACGTGCAAACATACTTCACGAGCCCATCGCCGTGTTCGATTAGTCTCTGCTGCCATCCGATGCTTTGTGCGCAACTCTTGTGCAACCCATGGCTTTAAGAGCATCTGCTTCAGCTGCGGGCTGCCGTTGAGCGCATCGGCAATATCCCCCAGGAGACCATATGACAGCTTCATCTGAGTATCGGTGCGCTCATCGTCCTGAGCACAGCGCTGGATCAGGTCCAACATAGATTCGACATATGGAATGAGGACCGCAACTTGAAAGCGTGAGAAGGTGGATAATCAGCTGTCTTGACATGATTTCGTACCTTTCTCGGTGCCTTTGAACCCGCTGACCAGTCCAGTATATGCTTCCAGAATGCCTTCTCGGAGCTGGCCAACGTAGTCCATCAAGTCATAATCAAGCTAAGATTGTAGTCAATGACGGCAAGGAAGTTATTCAGCGCAGCAACTAACAGGATTGGGCTGCATTCCTCCAGCCTGTCTGAGCACATTCATTGTCGTATCCAGATACGGCTCAAACTCGGCTCCGATTGCGATAGCGATGTCTCCGAATCCACTCAAAATAGTTATTTTGACATTGCGGTTCAGAACATCGCTCTGTAGATTTTCCAGAAGAACGGTCATAAACTGCCCGGCGAATTGAGCTGACTGAGGACCAAGAGCCCTCGCGATATCGCCAATGATGCCGACGGCAATGGTGCACAATTGAGTGTCCTCGTGTGCTTTCAGAGCAGGATACAGATATGGCAAGAACGCTTGCATGTAAGGCAAGAAGTTGGACTCCAGTGCTAACAAAGAGTGAGATGAGTGTCGGAGGAATGTAATAAAAACGCGCCAGACGCAAAAGCTCCGACAGTCAGGAAGGCATCCTCGAGAATAGTGGACGTCTTGCCGGCAGACTGGATAAGTTGGAGAAGAAGAGTCATGACGCGGTCGGCCAGAGGTTGGATCCCAGCAGCAAGCTTCCGAATGACAGTCTGGAGGAATTGAGGATGAAGAAATACCAGCAAGCAAGACGCGCACGATGATGACACTGCAGAAATTACCCTGGAGTTCATTCCAATTGTTTCTGTCGTCTACGCCAAGGATTTGATTCTGATAGCATTCGTCAGCTGAGATCGACAGGTCCAAGTCTCGAACTCGCCTGCATGCCCAACAGTTGTTCCATGCGCTGCAAGATGATGACGACGGTATTTTGGACAACAGGAATAACGTCGGCAGCGCCACCACTCAGGTAGGCAGAGATGGCCTCATAAGCAGCGGTCCGGAAGTTGTGCTCATTGCTGCCACTTTCGGTGACACGTAGAAGGGCCTGAATGACGCCCTCGGTGTAGGGCGAAAGCGGACCAGTCGGCGCCGGCTGCTCTGGGTCATTATCGAACGTCCCCAGTTGTTCCGCCAGATTCATCAACGCCCAACAGCAATTGGCCACGATGCGGGGGTGCTCTTGATAATCGCCAAGGCCACTAACGAGCGCAGACACCAGTGGATGAAGATGCACATCGGGCTTGATCGTTTGGACGAGTAGATCTGAGACTCGTCCCAAGGTCCATGCAACTGTGTCCTTGACATCGGCATTGCTGTCTTGCATCATGTCGATAAGAAGAGGCAGAGCTTGACCGACGAGAGGTGTCAAAACAATGGGGTCTGGTCCTTCAAGGATCGAACCAAATGCCATGACTGCGGCCTCACGGTAATGCCAGTCCGTGGACTTGATGTGGGCTTCTATGAATGGGATGACAGCAGACACGACAGCATCTTGTACCGCTGCCGCCAGCAGCGAAAGACACGTTCCCGCAGCCATCGACAGGTTCCACTCGTCTTCTTCAGCTAATTCTTCTTGCTGAGTTAGCAATTGGAGGAGTACAGGGATAATTTCTGGAAGCGCAATCTTGGCAAAATGTTTTGATTCAGTTTCGGGTGCTTCGCCGTATTCTTGAGCCTGAATAACTTTAGAGAGAGGTATCGAAATCATACATGTCGAATTTGACACACCTCTTGAGCTTCGATAGCCAAATCAACTTCCTCCTCGCAGACAGTTGACCAAAATTCCACAGCTTGCAGGGCAACTCGTTCATCGTGATGTTTCATTCCCACAACAGTCAACTGTGATATAGGTCAATGCGACTGGAACACAGACGAAGGGAGGAGACTACGCACCCCAAACAAAGCTTGCTCCATATAATAGCTCATTTTATCGTAATACAACCCCATTATCCTCACAAGACACTCGAATGCGCCTACTTGGACTGGAACGGACGAATTTTGCGACGCCTCACAAACAACTTGCATGATGTAATTGCGCTCGCCCTAATGTGATATCAACATCAATCTTGGGCTATCATCGATTGGAAATCGGCTCACCTCACGTTCGAAGTTGTCCCGCACAAACTCGAGAGAGTTGAAGAGTGCGTGGATTGCAGCGAGTTGTACTTCAGGGGAGGGCTCCTCTTTACGAGCACCGTGAATCACAGCAGTGAGAATCTCATTCGAACGCAGAGTCAGAATTTCTGGTTTCTGAGCGGGGTGTGATTAGAAGCAGCTCGCAATCGTTCAATCCCATGCGACACTCACTATTGATTCGCAGATGTAACCGATCGTTTGCAACGTCGCGATTCGTAGGTTGACGTTGTTTTGCGTATTCACGAAGCCCAGCAGCAGCTCAATGAGATCTCCCCAGTGGTTGAGAGGGAGCTCAACGGCGGCAATGGCAGCGACCACCTGGGAAGCAAAAGCACCAGCCTTTTGGGAGGTGGATGCCAAGGTCAAAAGCGCGTCACTTTTGACTTTCTGCTTAGCGTCGTTGGGAAGCGCCATCCACCTGTTGGCGTAGTCTGCTTGTCGAATCAGATCCTAGATGAGTTTCAGCTGGATGATGAGTGGTAGAGGCAGATTGTAGACATACACGAGCGGTAAGTGCGTTTTTCAAGGCCAATCCTGCGGCATTTCTTACATGCAAGGGGGTACTCTCGTCCACCAGAACGGACGACAGCATAATCATGTATTCGGGCTAGATAGTTATAATAACAGTGAGACAGAAGAAGGGAATGAAAAGAAAGAAAGCAGACGTAGTTCTCCCGCGATGCATTCTCCAACTTTTGCGTAGCCTCATCACGCGTGTTCTGATCTAATGCATAAGGGGAGTGGTTGTTAACGATGACCGAACAGAAAGACGCGACCTAAAAGTCCGGGTGCCACTAACCTGATGAAATTGAGTTGGCGAGCAGTTCCGTCGCGTTCATGGTGTGTTAGATGTATTCAGCTCGAGGTTTCGAGGATTGAAGTAAATTGCGATTAGAAAGTTGTTGCAAGGAGAAGTGGAGCGGAGAGAATGGGCAACCAGACCGCCTCCAGGCAAAGGATGTGAGAGGATCGGTGGCACTGCCACCTTGAACAAACAAAAACAAAGCGCACACTTGACGAAAGAACTGTAGTACTTTCTACTTATTTACAAGTTTACACAAATCATCGCTTGGAGGACAAGGATGACGCGTTCTTGACGAATTTGAGCACCAGTGCCACGTTTACGAACTGCCGCGATACACTCATGCGAGACACTCAATCGACATAAATTGTGCATATCGCGAGTCGCGACTACGTGCGATAATATTGATCCAATCAGCTTCTAATCTTGGGAGCTTCAATTCAACCAAGCCTCGAACGACCGACTGTACCTACATAGTACTCAAACCTACTCAAATTTCGGAACGACCTAGAACATGGAGATCGCCCCGACAAGATTGCCACAGCGGCTTCGATCAGTCGAGACTAGAGACTCGACAAACAGGGTCAAACTTTGTGGTCGCGTCTTTGACAAGACTCGCATGGAACCATGCACCATCGCGGTCCCACTCTCTCCTGAAAACAGTTCTGCAGCTCATTTTCTCTCCTCTCACTCTCCAACTGCTCCCTTTCGGCGTCGATCGTCAAAACTGCTCACAGCGATTCACGCAGCCCTTGGATCCGGTCCTTCAAAAGTACATCATTCCTCGTTCCCCGGTGCCCATGCACTTCCGGGAGATGGACCTTGGGAAGAAGATGAAATCATTTGGAATAAGACCAAAGTAGTCTGGCTATCAGGAGGAGTGATACGTAAACAATGGACGTTCATCCAGGAAGGACAAGCAGTCCAATTCGCTACTCTCGGGTGGCTAGAGCAAGACTGCTCAACCGGAGACCCCTTTATTTCTCCTCTAGCTTCTGACTCTCAAGACAAACCTCTTCGATCCACTGCAACTGATGACTCCTCTGAACGCCCAACTTTTGGACCGTTCGCACAATTACCCCAGAACGCGAAACTACCCAAACTGAACCTCCTCCGTGTCCCCGCAGCCTTTGTATTCCTTCGTGATATTGGAAAGATTTTTCTCAAGAATGGTACCGACTACACGTTTGCTGTTCCTTTCGTGGTACGGCAAGCTTGGCCACTTTATCCACACGGTGTCCTGATCCAAAGATCTTTGGAGCCGGGCGAGATCGAGGAGGCAGCTGCGATAGGAGAGACTGCGCTCCCAACGATCTTTTCTCTCACTAGTCCTTTTGCCGAGGCTGTCGCGATGGGTCTGACAAGCGGAATTCTGAATGGATTCGGTGAAGCTCCAACTTTGAAAGACGAGGAAGAGCACTCTCAGAGGCCGCTCAAGGCCGTACCTTCAACAGACAATGTGATATGGACATCTCGCCGGGGACCAGGTGGCAATCATGACCTTGTCGTCTCTGTCGACGTCGCCACTCGACAGCTCTCCATCTGGCGTTACGTGTTCATCAAGCCCAACGACACCCCCGTTCCTTTTGGCCAGGCCAAAGTAGCCAAGCACCGCCACTCACTCTCCATCGCGACGAACAGGCGCACTTCGACCATGTTCACGGACTTCGACCGACTCAACCCACGCTCACCCAAACTTGTTGGCCCACGAGAGTCTGCAATGAAAGTTTCTGATGTTCCTGTGCTTCCCGGGGACATGCCACCTTTTTCGGCATTACCTGGAATGCCTCCGGCCTTGTCTGCGACAACTATGGCTCCAAGCGGCTCGGGGACATCTTCACAATGGTCGGGAACATCGAATCGTCATCGTAGGAATTCTCTGACGCGCAACGATCTGAGTGTCACGATGGACCGAATGGCGCTTGGCGCAGGGATTAAAAGCGACTTTGAAAATACTCTCCCGCCACCCAGTCAGCATGGAAGGATGAAAACGTCATACTGGATGGAAAAATTGTATTCAAAGGAACTATCGGATATCGAGTTAGTACTCTCTTCATGCACTACCCCTATTCTTACATTGGTTAGAGCTCGAAATTGGCAGGAAATAACATGCTCTCAGTTTGACCGTCGATGGGATGGAGCATCGTACCACTCCTTACTCTCGGTGCATACACCCGTCTCTGGGACGCTGCTGGTGATGAGGGCATGGGAGGAAGATGATGTACTGAAGGTCGCACTGCTCTCAGAAACTGCTGCGATCGCTGCCACGTCGCTGCGCATCACGCGCAAGGATGTCTGGGATTTGTTGGTGCTCAGAGCGAATTCCCAATTCGTGATTCTCACACATGGTCTGAGGGAGCTCCCGGTCCAGCTGAGCACGGGGAACGAGCGAGTGGTCGATCTCAAGCAGGAGTTCTGTCGCTCTGCGACGTTCATCTTTCAAAGTGGGCGACGCCAGATTGCATGTATCGATCTCGTTCCTACAGATAGTCTGACTCTCCACACACTGGAGACGCTTTCGCTGATCCTCCCATCGGACCTTTTTTTCGAATTGCATCATTGCTTTCTCGTTAATTGGTCCCGCAACGGCCTGCGAGCATCAGATAATGTTCAATTCGAGTGCTTGACTGCGGCACTGTGCACGACTTTCGAACTTGATCGTCCTTCGCCCTCCGTATCGACTGCCGTATGGTCAATGTTGGGTGTCTCGCCATCTCACGATAGATTTCGAGAGGACATCGCTTTGCGAAATATGCGACGGCCCAGTGCTCCACTGAGCGTCGTACCCTGTCATACACTCGGCTTGAATAGGAGAGACATGTTTGCGCCCGTCTTGTATGCTTTGCATGCTCTTGCAGAAAACCTCCGACTGCGCGTGGATCATTACAAGCATGTCAATGTATTGGCCCCAATAATCTGCCGGTTTGCACAAGTTATTCGGCCCGAATGGGCAGATTACTGGAAGCGACTGGTGCCTGATGCGATGGCAGGCTGGCCTGAAGTTCCGGGTCAGTTCGCTCTCGTCCTTCCCAGACTCTGTTTCATATCTTCCTAGAGCATGAAGTCGATGATCGACTACCAGTGTGGCCACCAGATCTATCGGCCATCTTGTACGGCCGAGTCAGCAGTCCTGACTGGCAAGTCCCTTGGCACGACACACAGCATATTGCCAATCGATTTCACATCGAGGCCTCATATGCATTTGGGCATGTTGAGCCACTTGCCACACTACGACGGCTCAATATGATCTACAACTGCCTCGCAGATCACGCTGAGTCGTCCAGTCAAAGGCGGGCTGAAAATGCTGTACTTTGCATGGTTCAGAATGGCATAGGATCCGAATTTGTGAACCGACTCTCTCTCGGAGTGTCGATGCCGGTGAGAGAAGCCTCGAGAACCTGTCAAGTTGCGCCCCCTAGTGAATGGCCCCTGGAAGCCTATCGTGCAGTGGGCAGGAATGACATTGCCGCTTCGGCGAGCCAAATTCCAGATATGGTGTTTGCAGACGGATATCGGCCGATCAAAGAGTTTGTGGTGGGTGTTGTTCATCTTCCAGTTTCTTCATTCTGAGTCTCTTAGAATCCAACGCGACCTCGACCGACAATCCAGGGCATCGTCACGCAAGCCAAGGTTGCCGGGTTAGGCGCAGTGGAGACCGTGTCTGGTGTCGAATTAGGTCTGAAAGACTTCACTGATATCCGATTCGGGCAGGACCGAAGACTGGATGAAGTGGCGCGATTACTCTGCTCTTCCAAAATCTTGTCCGTTCGCGCAATAGAACGGCCTGAACTCAAGTGAGTGGCTGCTTTGTTCATTGCTCACTCTCATGAAGTCTGACATCCCACAAGCGAGCACGACCAAAGCAAAGAACACCAACACCAGGTGCTTCGAATCTCAGAACGGACTTTGGCCCTTCCTTACGGCCGGGCCATCTTCACGTTTGGAACTCTGATGAACGTCACGAAAGAGGCGTACAGCATTCCCAAGCTGGAATTTTCCATCAAGCTGCAACCACTGGGTGTGACCGTGACGCCTGAACCCGGAAAACTTCATGGAGATTCGTTGTCGTGGGGGGAATTCCACAACGGAGTTGCAGCAGGGCTGCGGATATCGCCGTCTGCGGCAGGAGTCGAGAGTTCTTGGATCGCTTTCAACAGGCCGTCCGAACTGACGCCTGAACATGCTGGGTTCCTTTTCGCTCTTGGACTGACCGGACATCTCAAAACGATGCTCACATGGCACACTTTCGCATATCTGACGCCTAAGCACGATCTAACCTCCATCGGCGTGTTACTTGGACTGGCTGCAGCGAATGTCGGCACAGGTGACGAACACGTGACCAAACTGCTCGCAGTGCACACACCAGCTTTGCTCCCTACACCTGAGGTGGATCTAAATGTGCCGCTAATGACGCAGGCGGCAGGACTTTCCGGCCTTGGACTGCTGTATATGGGTACCAAAAACCGACGGATGGCAGAAGTGTGCCTGGGTGAGATCGCGCGCCGCGACCTGGCCGATCCAGATCTGAACAACGAATTCCGAGAAGCTTACACTTTTTCTGCGGCCCTTGCATTCGGGATGATCATGCTGGGAAAAGGAAGCATGGTCCCGGCGGACGCCGCACTGCTGAGTCGGCTAAACATCCTCATCCACGGAGAACCCAGAACACCGATCAACACCCATCGGACCGGATTTTTCGATCTCAACTTGACGTCGCCGGCAGCGACACTGGCGCTGGGGTTGATGTACCTGCGCACCGAACGACAGGACGTCGCTGATATGCTGGTGATCCCCGACACAGTTTTGGCGCTGAATCGCATCCAGCCCAGTTTCCTACTGATGAGGGTGTTGGCAAAGGCGCTGATCATGTGGGACTCGATCTCGCCAACATCAGAGTGGCAGGCGGCACAGATCCCGAGGTCTATACGTGAGGCAGTGGACAATCGCTCCAGAAAGGGTGTTCCCATCGACGACTCCCTGGAGCTCGCCTATTACAACATTCTCGCCGCGTCCTGTTTTGCAATTGGCCTGAAATTTGCTGGCACGGCGAGACAGGAAGCGTATATGATGATCATCCGGTACTTCGATCTATTTACTCGCATGGTGTACTCGAACAGTGGGTTTGATGCATCCTTCGCACCTTGACAGGGCACTCATGAGCCCCCCACAGGCCAGGCATTCGACCACAAGATCCGACGTTCGGCCGTGCGCGATGGCTTGAATCTCATCTCGATCGCTCTCAGCATGGTCATGGCCGGCACAGGCGAGATATCGTGCTTGCGCCGGTTCCGATTCGCATACGGAATGTACCACCAGACCATGTACCATCCAGCATTCCGATACGGCATCCACGTCGCCAACCACATGTCTCTCGGCTTGCTTTTTATTGGCGGAGGGAGATTCACCCTGGGGACATCGGATGCCGCTGTAGCCTGCATGGTCACGGCACTGTTTCCTCGAGCGCATCACGCTTCCTCGGAAAATAAGAGCTTCCTCCAGGCTTTGCGGCATTTGTGGGTGCTTGCGATCGAACCTCGTTGCCTGATTGCGCGTGACGTAGAAACGACCGATGTGGTTTATTTACCTGTCAAGATCACTGTCCACGAAGGGAGGGAAGCTGGAACTACGCAGCTGATCTCACCGACGCTCATCCCTGATCTGGACAAGCTGGCTGCTATCCGCGTCGACACCCCTCGTTACTGGCCGTTTCATTTTGACACAGCGAACATCCCCCGACACAAGGACAGCCTCCTCCGCAGCCAAACCCTCTATGTCAAACGGCGGACTGCATTTTTGAGCTACACAGAGGATCCCAGAGGAAGCCGAAGTCTGTTCGTCAGGTCTCGCTCATCAGCGGGGGAGGCTGCAACGCTGGATTTCCCGCAGCTCAGTGACACCAAAGTCCATCCAGCCAGCGACCTGGGCGAGTTCATCACCTCCTTCTCGAATGACACGCTTTTCCTGGCCTATGCAGACCATTTGGCTCGCGAAGAAGGTGTCACCGAGGCAGAACGCATTCTCCATATCTATTCGCATGCCAATCTGCTGGATAGTATTCTCCAGGGTAAACCACAGACCCTCCAGGCCCACCTGACCCTATTTCGCTTCCGGCTACTTGTCCCGAACTCTCGATATTTCCATCTCCATCTGCAGGACCTCAGGTTCGCTGCCGATTTCTACAGCAAAATATATGAGCGCCGATTCAGCGGACGGCGAGAAAACAATTACCGGATTCCGTTGCTTCGGGACAGCACTGTTTCTGGGACATTGCACGTTCTCGACGAACAACTCAGACACTTGCGGGCAGACGAGCAATTCAAGGAGGTTCTCAAGCAGTATGCTTCCGGAGAACCAGTCTCCATGGACGAAGGCGCGTCGTCGCTCCTGGCGTGGTATCTGCTCAGAAACAGCGTGCCTGTCTCGACACTGTTGATGATCCTTAAACACCTCGCAAATGAAGCTTTTGAAAAATGCTTTCAACAACCTCAGCCTGCTGGGACAATCGACCAAGAGCTCTTGAAGCAAGGCATCACTGAAGTTCTGCATGCGGCTGGCGTCAAACTCACGACCGTCCTGGGAGCCGGATGGTCAGTCGGTTCGTTGAAAGAGATTCTTGAATGTTGGAACTTGTAGAACTAGCAAGCATATTACTACTGTCCATAGCAGTGTATTTTTGGTATGTAACACTCGAAAGCCAAACCGAGATAGCCGGTGACAGCAAAGCATCACAAATAAAGTGCACGGAACGTTCGACTTTTTGTTCGTCCGCACCCCTCATCATGTCTTCAACTTCCGTGCAGGCGACTAACCTCGCCTCCATAAAAAACGCGCCTGTCTTGGGCTTGGCCGAGGGCAATGGCGCCTTCTCCAACTACCACCTCGCCGCGCTTGTCCTCTTGGTGCCCTACGTGGTCAAATCCTTTGTGCCCCTCGTAAACCGTGGCGGGCTCAAGACTTACCTCGTTCTCATGGTGCTTACGGGCGTCCCGACCACCATCGCGTATTGGACTCTCATGTCTACGTATGGTGGACGCAAGAACGAGAAGGTCCTCTTCCCCGGCAAGGACATCGAGGAGTACATCACTATCAAGGACCCAGAGCTCAAGAAGCTTTACTACGGAAAGAACAAGATTCCAATGCAGGTGTTCCACGATGCATACTTCGAGGGGAAGATTGATTTCAACGGTGCGTCGCTGGCAACTCACATGACCCCTGAGGGTACAAAACACGCTCTTTACTAACGACTTGACGTGTCATAGGCGACGTACTGGATGTTTTGGAACAGCGTCACGACTGGGCAAAATTCACCTTCACGCCTGAACTGTTTAAATATGTCTTTTTGAACTTCCTGCCCGAAGTCATCGTGCACTCGCAGAGTCAGGATGAAGAACAAGTTCGTGACCATTACGACAGAGGCGACGACTTTTACGAATGGTACGTGTTCCTCCAGTCGCCCGGTGCTCGCTTCCAAGCCCATTTATCAGGTTCCTTGGTCCTCGCATGATCTACACTTCCGGTGTTATTCTCTCCCCTGACCAATTCGAGTCCCTGGAAACCCTGCAAGACAACAAACTCGCAATCGTTTGCAACAAGCTCAACTTGCAGCCCACCGATCGCCTCCTCGATGTCGGCTGTGGCTGGGGCACTCTCGTTGCCTACGCAGCCAAAAATTTTGGCTGCGACGTCACGGGTGTTACGCTTGGAAAGAATCAGACCAAGTTTGGTACGAAGCGCATCGCAGACAACGGCATCTCGGCGGACAAGGCTCGCATCCTGTGCTGCGACTATCGTGAGATTCCTCATGGCAAGGGCATCTATGACAAAATCGTCAGTCTGGAAATGGCTGAGGTATGAATTGTGATCCCTCATGCTTGATCCGTCTCATCTTCGTACAGCACGTTGGTGTCCGCCGTTACTCTGCTTTCTTGGGCCAGATGTACGAGCTTTTGTCCGACGATGGTATCTTTGTTTTCCAAGTCGCTGGCTTGCGTCAAGGTTGGCAGTTTGAGGATCTCATCTGGGGTCTCTTCATGAACAAATATGTGTTCCCTGGTGCCGATGCCTCCGCGTCTCTTGGCTGGGTCGTTAACAAGGTTCGTTTATCAACTCTTGGTGTTAATCATCTTTCTCATCACTTTGAGCAGCTCGAGCAAGCCAACTTCGAGGTCAAGTCGATTGACGTTCTCGGTGTTCACTACTCCGCCACCCTCTGGAGGTGGTACCTCAACTGGTTGTCGAACAAAGAAAAAGTCATCGAGAAGTACGGCGAACGGTGGTTCCGTATCTGGGCATTTTTCCTTGCCTGGTCGACCATTGCCAGCAGGTGCGTCACCAAATACACCAAATATCATTTTCCACAACTATCCTAACCTGCTTTGACTTGCAGACAAGGCACTGCTTCCGTGTTCCAGTTTGTCCTGCACAAGAATTTGAACGCGTACCACCGTGTCCTCGGTGCGGCCAACCATGGTGGCATCCACGTCAAACTTGACAAAGAGCCTCAGTATGTCATCCACCTCTTCGTGAATGTGGGAACTGACTGTCGCCCACAGGCTGATTTTGTGATCCTTGGAATTCTAAAATTAATCTACGATTGACGAATAAACACTTGACGATTATTACTACGTACCTGCTATATCCCTATTAGATTGTTCTGGCAAACGAATATAGGGAGTTAGGATGTCTACCTCTAAGATTCACCGGCGGATAATGATGTAGTCACTACATTGGGGAGTAATAATCTAAACGTTCGTCGGGACAAGATCAAATGATTAGGATCTAGCAGCGCCTTAAACCTGCCATCATGTTCGCTAGCAGAGCCCAGCTTGACCTCTCCGTTTTCTCCTCCCCTCAATCTCTTCGTAAACGCCGCTCTCTACTAATTTGTGGCTCCGTGCCATGGATAAAACGGAAAGTGAACCGGGCCTGACGTCCGTCGTGGATACACCCGGAGATGAACCATGCGCAAAGATCTGGTCGGTCTACCTTTCGGAAGCGGAGAAGTACGACAGAGACTTGGTCGAAAGCTGGCGGGCTAACATGAACGGAATGCTGATATTCGTGCGTATGGTCTGCGGTCGATCGTGGTCTAGCGATACTGATATCATTATGTAGGCTGGTCTCTTCTCGGCCGTGCTGACGGCCTTCATCATTCAGAGTTATCAATCTTTCACTGCTCAAATGGCCCCTGCTCAATCGCCTGAGCTTCTCGCTCTCATCCATATATCCCAGCAGATTGCCCCGAACGGATTCGGATCGGCGATGCTGCCCCTGGCTCTCGATTTCACAGGCAACTCGACGCTGTCTACTCCGGGTCCTGACGCTGCCTATCTAGCGTGCAATATTCTTTGGTACCTCAGTCTCGGTCTCAGTCTGGCTAGCGCGTTGCTGGCTACGCTAGTGGATCAGTGGGCTCGTGAATTCTTGCAAAGAGCGGAAATGCGACCTAACCCCGTCAAACGCGCACGGATGTATGCATATCTCTACTATGGGTTGCAGCGTTTCCGTATGCACGTTGTCGTTGGGGTTGTCCCCCTACTTCTGCATTATTCGTTGTTCCTGTTTTTCGGCGGCCTGGTCGCGTTCCTCAAACCAGTGAACTTCACTTTGACCATTATTGCAGTAGCTATGCTCGGCTTTGTAGGCATTTTCTATGCTTCCATAACGCTACTTCCTCTGCTCTGGTTCGACTGCCCGTACCAAACACCTCTTTCTCCCTTACTGTGGAATATCCACCGATTCTTGCTACGCCGCATTCTCAGCCACTTTCCCGCGCCTGCTCGCCAGAATGCGGATGATCCGCAGCCACCTTTGAATCCGCACCTGAAATCACAGCAGTCGGCCATGCTAGACACCGCCACGATACGCTCTGACCTACGCGAGGCTCGGGATAAAAGAGCACTCGCATGGACAATGAAGTCTCTCGCAGACGACGATGAGCTCGAGCCGTTTGTGGAGGTGCGGAGGAAAATAATACACACTCTGAAAATGACTGATGGCGAACAGGGCATTCCCAATGCTATCTATGGTCCTCAAGGCCGTCGAGTGAAATATGACGATTTGATGTTGGGCCTGCTGAAAGATCCAGACGTTCTACTGGGTTCACGGATTGAGCATCTGCTGCTGAGTTGTGACGCCGGTCTGCTTGAACCGTTGGCCCAGACACGACGTCTGCATACGTGCCTAAAAGCCATCTGGTGTCTGGGGATGATCGCAGAGAAGAAAAGGTCGCCCGCCCAACCATTGTTTTTCTTCCAGAACCGAGGGCTGAAATTTCTGCCTGCACCGACGCCAGCCATTGCCCATTATCTTCCATCGATCTCAGCGTTGGCCGAATGGAACGGTTTCTGCTCCCTCCACGGTCACGTCGCAAAGCTGCTGGAGCACCTGGAAAACCGACCCCATCCCGTCATGCCGCTGTATATCAGCGACTGTCGTTTGCGTCTCCGGCTGTTTCTTGACCAGTACGAGCTCAGCAATTGGCAGCATGTCATTCCCATCGCATCCGAGGGGAAAAATCTGGCTTTACTGGTGAGGCCTCCAGCTCAGCCTCAGACAACGTTCGAAATGGACGACTGGGTGACGGACGTAAAACACGTCTTACAGTCCATGCCGTTATATTGGAACAAGATCCAGTTCCGGATCCTTCACTCCTACCTGCAGCAATCTGCGGCGTTGGATCGACCGCCTTACGAATTTCAGTTGACATGCCAAACGATTCAGCCTTCGCTCGAACCTGACATTGACATCGCGGGCAGCGTAGCATCTACTATTAGCGAGACGGTCCACAGAGCAGTGTCGCCGAGTGGGCGGCCCTTGAACCACATTGACATCATCCTTGGAATTCTGCTGCCCTGGTTTGACACCAAGGCTCTCGAGCCACACATCGCAGTCCGCGTGACAGACAGCGTGATCGAATACATCAATCATCGCGAGTCCAATGCTGCCGTCTGCCATGTCCTTGGCAAATGCGACTTGACTCTCCTCTGGGACCGGATCACCGACCGGATCAACTCGTCCAGGCTCGAAGTGTCCAAGGCGATGTGGCATCTCTCTGCCCTGTTCCCGGGGCCATCAGCCCTCGATGCTCGATTGGCGGAGTGGCCCGCCTTCAACACCGCCATGCTGGACGTCATTCCGGCCGCACCATACACAGCGTCTGTCCTGGCACTTCTCAAGTCGCACATCTATGATGCATATGAGGCTGTCGAGCGCACCTTGCTTGTGACCGACTTGAAGAGATTCAGGCAACGGCTGATCGACAATCCTGTCAGCCCGTTGACATCACATGATTCCCTCACGTTACTACGAAACGTGGAACGGTACTGGGCTCTGATGACCGCTGTCTGCTCGCTGCTTCTTCCGCCCGTGGACACCAGCGGCCGACGGCCTCTGGAAAAATTACCGGTGTTCCCGGTGTACCGGTACAGCACTCTTGGCATCTACGAAAACTACAGGCGGAATGCAATCGGTGCGATTGACAAAGCTATCGAACTGATCCCCCGCTTCAACCGAAGAATGGGAGAAGCACGATTTCTGGTATTCCTCGGATTCGTCAACGTGTGTGCCCATGACAATGTTCTTCCATACAAAGCTTTCGAAACACTCTCAGAAAATCTTCTTCTCGCGCTGCCCAATGCCCCAGAAATGGACGTCGTTCACCCAAATAATCAACGCGCGTTTGTGGCTGTGTTCAAGTCATTGTGTGGATCAGAGCAAACGCACGACCTCGTTACTCTCATCCTGACTTCCCCCCTCTTCATCATGGAACCTCTGCATTGGTTGGATGATCCCGAGTCGATATGTGCTCTCGTTGCCATCTTGAAGGGAATCCGGCCGAACGCTTCCGATTCATTCTCGAACAAGGTGGAAGAAATCATCCAATGGCTCGATAGTAAGCCACCATCAACACCCGTTGTAAACGGTCATGCCGTTGCTGGACCGTCCCGTCTTTCCTGATGTATGGCGATCGACGCTGTAAAGCACTTGGTATCTGGGAGAATTGTACATTATGCCATGGTAATATTGCCTCCTATGTATGCTCTTGCTTGAAGACGAATGTAATAACGATAATTGGATTCGGGTGTTGTGTCGCATGCGATCTCATTCCTGGTCATCCCAACTTCGATACCTGAGGTATCGTCAATAAAATATCGAGCGGAGAGCGTAACCCACTGACCTCGATCATGCGACGATGCAGCCGCCATTAGTTCCGTGGCTAGAATCCTCATCTACCATAGGTGGATGATCGACAGTCTCCTCTGTCCTCTGGGGTATGACGGTGGAGTTGAACGAGTCCATGCGGACAGATAAACCAGGGGATGAGTAGCGATAGACAGGCTCGGTGAGCATCTGAGAACAACCAATGTGCATTTTATACAACCAGACTTCCACGGAGCGAGCCATCCGAATGCTCCACCAGCTATCACCTCAAGCCCGATCGCACATAAACGAAGATGAAGGGACAATACGCACACAATAAGAAGGATCGCTGAATCAACAATTGAGCAGTTCTTTTTCAGATGAACACAAAAGAGTTGCGATCAGTCCTCCGAGAACTGGACAGGCCCTCCAGATGATCGATGATCCAGCGCGTGGAAAGATATGGTAGGTTGAGAGGAGCATTCTAAACAGCCTAGCATCACGATGTTCTGCATAGACTCCCCGAGGCAATTCTGCTCGTCAGATAAGGTCCCCTGAGATAATCCTGGGAGTGCGAACAATCTGATTGTGAACTTGTCTAAAGAACAACAAATGGACGAAGCGATCATCATCTTCTCCAGAATTGAGTATCCAGGGCAGCGTGAACGATAATGACAAGTTCGTGACTCGATGCGATTTCGGTCCTGACTAACATCAGCTCAGTAAACGTACCGAGACTTTGAGTCTTACATGAACATGTCCAATTCGAAACCCTGGAAAGCACTTGTGGCGCACAGGACAAGTTTGATAGCAGAGACAATCTACACAGTCATGGTATGGTCGACGGTACGTGCGCGCCCACATAAATAGGCACTTGAGGAAAGATGCAGCTTTTCTGTTGCTAGTGCATTGTATAGTACTTGGACTGTGACGTGTCAGCGATTGTTCCGTTTCCATATAGTCAAGCACTCGCCTAAACACGAAGTTCCACTTATTCCACCTGTTTGTCAACCGAAAGGCGGATCTGATTGAGTATCTCCCGACGTAGGGCGGGAGGAATCGATGGTGCTGATATGTCAAAGGTTTGGGTCCGAGAAGGGATAACAAAGATGGAGACAGACTTTGGACACCGACTTCATCTATGAGGGCACTATACGACATCCTTGGCGAGTTGCGCGCATGCTCTAGAAAGGGGGAGATTTGATGAAAGGGAGATAGGCGAGCGAGCCCCATTCACCTTTAGCACGGCTACGCAGCTCATCAACCCATCCAATGTCGTTCAGGCGCGTGGCAAGTGTCGATCGGATACTGACGGTTTCTTTCATCAGTACCGAGGACATGATGACAGCGACAAGCACACATACCGTTCCCAATCTCCACTTTCAAGTAGCCGTTGAGTGAGTTGTGCTTGAAGCGCATCCAGCTCAGCTGGAGTGGCCGGCGGCATGCCCGCGCTTAGCCCAAAGATTACGATGTGCTGAGCGCCGCCACGTTTGTTAAAAGCCGAGAAGAGCGAAGGGAGTCGGCTTGCTGACTTGCTAAAGATTTGTGCGATTGTGTTCCACGAACTGAGAGGAGATTACGAGAGGTAGTACTAGCAGGCACTAGTAGGACGCTCGCGACTCGGAGTATGGATCATCACGGTCTCGTGACCGAGACAAAATGTAGCCTGAACCTTGCCTCGACTGCCTCCAGAGTCCAAAATCTCACGACAAATACCATCGACTGGAACCAATTTAGATACAAATGTTATGGGAGATGCTTCGCCGAAACAAATGGAAGCTCCGATATAACATTGGATTACAGAAGCCACATACTCGAGTATGATCACATTTTGCATTGCATCGCAGAGTTCGAACTTGCGAGTTTTAGACCCATAAGCCCTGAAATTTGGCTAGCACAACCATCATATTTCTGTGTCTTCAGATATCGGTTGTCGTGTCGATTGAGTCGGTTCATTGACGAACGGGGGATACACATCCGAAGACTTGAGACGGCAAAGAGCGCCAGCCTAGAGGGCTTGGGAAAAGGGGACCAGACTGCATGAACGCAGTGGACTTGAGCACGACGAATAGTGTTGATGAAAGCGCATGCCCAGCGTACAATCATTGGGACGATGCTCCGGTGTAGTTGCGGCGCAGATTACGCCTACAAAGGTTGAAATCCGGGGTAGAGTTGGATTCCTGGGCTCGTTAGGTAGCTTGATATGGCCATGTAATGTTCCGCAGGCTGGTCAGTTTATGAAGACAATGAGAAACGCATCGGCAGACTTTATTCAATCCTCCGATCCTCCAAACGACTTCTTGATCGCAAATTTGACAGGTGGCTCGAGCGCATGGTGATCACGTGCAAGTATTCCGGAGCTCTTTGCACTCGATTCACAAAGGATTCCCCCACTTTTTGCTCTCGACTCTCATCCTCCCCCGCCAAAAGCCAACTTGCCCAATTCAAATGGCTCGTACTAAGGTCCGGTTCATCATCCGCCCCTACCCTCATGCACCTTCCTGACGATACTCTTTAGCAAACTGCCCGCAAGTCAACTGGAGGTGTGTGCTCATCGTCCGAGACGACTTCCGTCGGGGTCTCACTGGCCGATTTTCTCTTTGTCTCCAATAGGCAAGGCCCCTCGTAAACAGCTCGCAACCAAGGCCGCGCGTAAGACCGCCAACGTGAGTATTCTTACCATACTCTTCGCTGCATCGTCGCTCGTCACCGTCGACGACGGCGACTGCTCCCTTTTCTCACGCCCTTACACGTGACATATTGATTGACATTTTGCACAGCCTACCACCACTGGCGGTGTCAAGAAGCCGCATCGTTTCCGGCCCGGAACAGTCGCTCTTCGTGAAATTCGCCGGTATCAGAAGTCAACTGAGCTTCTCATCCGCAAGCTCCCCTTCCAGCGTCTTGTTCGTGAAATTGCTCAGGACTTTAAGGTGGGTCTGTTGGTCACGCCCCTATCGGCATCCGGCTTACGTGAACACGCCCAGACCGATCTTCGTTTCCAATCGTCCGCCGTGATGGCTCTCCAAGAGGCAGCTGAAGCGTACTTGGTGTCTTTGTTCGAGGACACCAATTTGGCCGCTATCCATGCCAAGCGTGTGACCATCCAGCCAAAGGATCTCGCCCTAGCTCGCCGGCTGCGTGGAGAGCGCTCCTAAGCAAGATGTCCCATGCCGTGCTTTGTACTCTGTCTGAACTATATCTCTTCCGTTCCATTTGTACCCTAGCCTATATATATATGACTGACTGAAATTTGTGTGGCATCCGTGAGATGGCGTTATCTCAATTCTCAATCCTCAAACGAGTGCACTCACTTGCTATCTGCACAATTCATTGGAATTTCCTGCCTGCGCAGTGTATCTACGTTTCTTCTCTTTACTTGGTCGAGGCACCTATCCATAAGGAGTGTCGCCTCACAAGTTCGCTGATGATGTCCTCCTCGATCTCCTGGTTATGAGCGGTTGGCGAAAGGCGAAGCCAAGACTCGACAAACATGAGGCTGTCCTTATTCTGGACGCCAACCGCCGCAATCTCAGCATCATCGGCGCCAGTAGGCAGCGGAGGCAGCGGTTTCATCTTCCGCTCGACAAACACGACACGATGCTTGCGAGTATGCAGATCGTTTCCGATGACAATCTGATGGCCATACCGTTCAAGAGCTGCTCGTGCTTTGGGTATGAGCAAGTCTTCGTCTGTTTCCAGCTGGTCTCACAGGTGAGTCGCAGAACCCAAAAGAAACATGAATAGGCTTGCCTTGAATGAGACGATATAACCGTCGCGAGTCCATTCCTCAACCATGGCCTTGAGGACTTTGGGCACCTGATCCATCTCAATGTGCAAGCTACCCTTGCCGGATTGTATTTTGTGTTCCGACTGGAAAATCACCCTCAGACGAAAGCCCCGAGTGCAGAAACGTACGAGGACGCACCAACTTCTGGCGCGGTAAGAAAAAGTCGCTCACAGCAGCTGCGAGATAATACAAAGCTCTCTGCCGTAGAACCGAGAGCTCCTGGGAAACCGCTCTCAGTAACCACAAATAGTCATTCACCGTCACAAAGTTCAGCGTGTGCAGCGTCCCTGCCATTTGCACGCTTTTATACGCAGCCAACACACTGATTAGATCCGGGTCAGCACGCTTCTCCGCTACGATCCCGGCTTTCTGGTCGCTTCCATCGCCCTCCAGCGATATAAAGTCGAGGAAAGGATTGGTGGAATGTGAATAATGGCGGCTGAATGGTTGCAGGCTGAATTGCCGGTGCATAAAGATCACTGCATATCCGGCTTTCAGGAAGTATTCGGCAGAAGTTGCACCGCGCGTTCCTGTTGAGCTGAGACTATGAGAGAAGCTGCAGTGATGAGCACATACCAGCACTGAAATTATCGAGGAATCGCACACTAGGAAGGTCTGAGCGATGATTCCGCATGAGATTAAGTTTGTTTCTCACACATTCAACTCCAGCGGCACTGTGGTTCCCCCGCTCTGTGTGCCCTAGTCTCCAGCCAGCCTTCAGATTCTGTGGGAGTGACTCACAGTAACCAGCACGACGTTCCGCCCCTCTGCAACCTGACGGGTGACAAATGCCTTCACCCCGGCGATATCCTGCTCGAGAGTATGGGGAGCAGCTTGCGTAGCAAAGTATGTCTCGGCAGAGAAGGGTGGTGTTTCATTCATTTCCGTGGCTGGTTTCTCGGGTTTCGGTTCACGTTGCGTGCGTCAGCTGTCGTACGATTGCAAGTTTGCAGGAGAGTCTAAATAGATTGATTCTGTATCACACAGGAATCCAAGATTGGGCGGCGGTGACGATACGGGAGAG